AATCAACAAAGTATGGGAAAAGCTGTATTTGTATGTGTGTTCGAATCTATAATAAAATTCCAAATGAATTTAAACTGCTCACTATTAATTTGTTTAAGAATAGACTATATAAATGGCTAAACCAACATAGCTTCTATGACATGAAGGATTTCTTTGCGACATAACATTCGTGCTAAGCTGATTATTAATATTTTGTTGACATTATTGTAAATTGAAATGAATTGACTTAAATTGAATTCTGACATTATTGTAACTGAGACATTATTATGAACTTATTGTATTAATTAATTAGATTCCAACTACTGTATATAAAATATTTGCATGCATTCTTTGATGAAGCAGAACATGAGCACATTTCAACATGTAACACCGATATTTAATTATGTATACCATGTTTTAAGCAAATAAATAAATTATCTTATCTTATCTTATCTTATCTTATTAAAATTTGTGAAACAAGAGCAAGTTAAAACGCGTATGCTGTTAAAGTGAAACTTTCAAAGTGCAAAGTCGATTTATAAATCGCATCGAAACCGACAGACTCTTGGGACGTGTATATTGCGACGGAAACGTGGAATATGTTGCGAATGCATTTTGTTTTATTTCCCGAGACTGCCGGTATTGCCCTCAATTTACGTTGTAGTGGAAAACTCGGGAAAATGCCGGGATCTAAGATTGAATTTTAGAAGCGCATTGCGAAATACTAAACTCGACACAGACTGGAACTTTATTCAAAGATTTTGTTTTATTTATACTGTTTTACTGATTAACTTTTTAAGAAAAGATCGTATCTTTAGATTACCTACAACAATCATTCCAAAATTATCAATAGACGTTTAAGTTAAGTACGGAAGAGGTTGAGGTTAAGGCTGATATTTTGAAATTTTTACTATACAATATTATTTAACTTTACGTCTTCTTTATACTGTCCATTTACGATATCTACATAGTCACGGCAAACACCCATTATTTATAACAACAATGCAATATACAAACTATAAAACGTACATAAATGTACAATTGTACGAAATAAAACAAGATCTATGGGCATTACATAGGCGTAATGGTAGCAGTAAATTATTAAAATGGGCTCTTTCAAAATTACTCAGTAGGTACTCGTATACGGTGTAAGAACCGTAGAATGAATAAAGTGTTTTTTTGATGGGAAGGAGTTCTCTGTGGACTTTGTTTCCGAATTTAGTTTCAAAGTTGTTTCAATGTGGTTGGGCTTCAGAAGGCAACAATGTCACTCTGTTCGAAACTATTGTCAATTAAATTACTGAATTAGACCCAGACAGACTGCAACCTGAAACAGATGCCTACCACAGATTCTCTCTTCCATTTTTGCTATTTGATAATGTGAATACATAAAATATACAGTCTAATTAAGTCTTCACTTTTGCAGAGTTTTTTCAGAGTATGATTCGCATTACCAGTAATATTCAATTCGCTATATCATCTAAAAAACGTTTGATAAGTAGGTACCTATAAGTATCTTATCGAATTAAGCCGGGTCCAGACGGGTGTAATGTGTAATGTAAGATTACGTCGTGTAATGTAGTAACACGAATTACGTATGAACGAATAAAGTGCTGCCCATACTGTTTACACTATACATTCCCTTATGCGTTACACCCGTCTAGATCCGGCTTTAAATTCCTTCTCAAGCGAATTATAGGTACCACCTACACAGTCTAGAGGCACTGTTTTTCCGAATAAAACTATTTTAGCGACATCCTATATTTTCAACATTTTCGACCATGCGGCCAGCGGGCACGCGTGGAAACTTTTTTCGGCCAATTAAGGGGTCCGTCTAGCTGCATACCGATAATGGTGCAGTCGAGTAATTTACACACTGTCTACGGGCCACGGGCCGTGACGGACAGCCAAACTTCATTAAAACAGGCTGGCTCACACGCGCGCTTTGGAATTATGAAATTATATTACGTGGACGCGATTCTTTACTATTTTTTTACGGATTTTTTGATAGCCTAAACGGTTCTTGGGCAGACATTGTCGGATTGGAATCTGACAACAATTGTATCAATAACTCTAGCAAAAGATTTTGTACTTTACTTCGATTTAGAAATCAGAAAGAAACTAACTGAAGAGTTGCGAACATTTTACAGTATAATATCGAAAATATAAAAAGTTTCGTACGCGTCTTTTACCACAATTCATAAATATTTACAAACTTCGTTGTAAAGTTCATATGGTTAGACTTCACAACAACGAATTGGTTGGATTAAATTCATGCTTGGGAATGAAACTTATATTTTTCTTGCTATATTATCTACCTGTGTATAGGTGGTAGTCACAATTCACTTCCGAAAAGTTTCAGATAGTAAATAGTTACCTTGAACCTCCACGAAAGTACACTAAACAAGACTGAAATATTTCAACAAAGTTTAAATAAATAAACAAAGTTTGGAACTTTCTAATTGAAAGCCGTTCCCAAAGTTATTGCTATAACTAAACAAAGCGTATCTTATCGTTGGAACAGAGTTATTGGCGCAATCAACCCGCTGCAAATTAATTGGTTTACGACTGTTGTAGCCTAAAGTTTACTTTTACTGCTTAGCAATAGCAAGTAAGCTGTAACCATAAGTTCCTTTAAGTCATGAATTGGGCACAATTTTTTTTTAATTATAAGCTTGATATTGCTTGTTTGTTAGTGTGAGCAAATCTTGCAACTGAATTTAAGACCACTTCTCCTCAACTGATTTGAGCTAAAGATATACTAATGTAAATACGATGACAATACAATGTCATGGTACCATTGAACTAGTATGATGATGGAGACAGGAGGTGGCCATAGGGACTCCTAAACGAAACAGCGGAATTGCATCCAATTTGGGTTCGTTGTATTTGTCTTTTCGGGCACTTTAGTGCTAGATGATGTCCAGGGTCCTGATGATGGAGACAGGAGGTGGTCATAGGAACTCCTAAACGAAACGACGACGGAAACTTATCGAGTTTGGGTTTGTTGGGTTCGTCTTCCCAAATACTTTGATGCTAAATGATGACCAGTGCCCTGACATTGAGATACAACTAAAAAGTGTAAAATTGGAAACCGGGAAGTGGGTTAATTTTAAGTTGCAAGATTTGCCTACACCAGACATGTGAAAGTAAATAAAAACTTGTAAAATAGAATGTAGGTACTGGTAGCTCACGCTCATCTTTACTGGGACTTGTATGTTTCTTGAAGTTCCAGAATGCTAGGTATTGGCTGATGTTTGTTTCTTTCAAACATCTACCAGGAATGCTTTAAATACATTTCTCTGAACCCAAACGTAATAGAATATAAAAAAAAAGTATTTAAGTATGTTTATCCTGTCGTCTAGTACCCATAGTGCAAGCTTTGCTTAGTTTGGGACTAGAGGCGCAGTGTAAAATGTCCAAGGATATTTATTTATTATTTATTTATTATTATTTATATCACCCCAACCTTTCTGGATTTTTGGGAAAAAATCACTTCGTGTGACAGTTAGTGCTTTCTTTTAAATACACTTGTTATTTCACATGAAAGTGTAAGGCCGCTACCAATCGATCAACGTCGAAAGTGTATTATTTTGGAAAAAATATATAAAAAAGTATATTAGTAATCTGAGATATTATTAGCTTAGCATTGTTTTATATTGGTTCTAAAGCCTCAAGCCCTTAGAGTTTGAATTCTTAGATGGGGCACGTTTCTACCTTCTTTGTAAACACCTAAAACGGCACCTAACGTGGACACCTGAATTATTGCGGACCTGAATTAAAATTTTTGCAGTATTATTTTCAAGAATATGACTTATTCCGCGGTGTGTGCACTATTTTGTTTTTAGTTCCATTAAAATTTTACGATTTCATCGGAAAAGTTTGATAAACTTAATGATCGTGCGTTTCCTTGTTTTATTTTAACACCTATAAAAAACTGGGGTTAACCTCACCAAAACAATGTTATCGGGATTTTATGGGGAAAATAAAGATACGGCAAACGTCATATTATTAGTTAGTAATTAAATACGTAAACTTGACGGCATAGGAACTATGAATGCTTTGTTTATTTTTTTTAAGTTGATATCATTTTGGTGTTAGTATGGAGAAAGCAATGTTATGGACACTACGAGTATAAAAATACATCAAGAAGATCCTAATTATTACCTACTTAATTATTAATTATTTATTATTGAATACGTTTACGGATTAGCAAGCTGAAATGGCAGTGGGCAGGGCACATAGTACGCAGAACTGACGACCGATGGGGCAGCAAGGTTCTGGAATGGAGGCCGCATACCGGAAAACGCAGAGTGGGACGTCCACCCACAAGGTGGACCGACGACCTAATAAAGGTAGCAGGAAGGCGCTGGATGCAGGCCGCTACCCACCGTGTGATGTGGAAGTAATGAGGATCAGTNATGAAGCAGAACATGAGCACGTTTCAACATGTAACACCGATATTTAATTATGTATACCATGTTTTAAGCAAATAAATAAATTATCTTATCTTATCTTATCAAACAGAGCCCTTGTCCAATTTAAAAATCGAGAAGATGCTATAAAATTATCTGAATGTGATAAGTTTAAAGAACTTGGTTTGAGATGTCAAATGATAAACGAATTATCTATGTCATTTGGAGTTGTTAAAGGAGTTGACCTTGATTTGAGTGAAGAAAATTTGTTAGAAATATTCCAATCAAGTACAGAGATATTATCTNGATTTTTAAAACCCTGGACTTTGCAATTAAATAGATTTTAATATGACTGGAACAGTGGAAATATTCCATTCCCGATACTTTTAGTGCAGCCCTCGTATGTTCAGCAGTGGACGTCCTATGGCTGAAACGATGATGATGATGAAGGTCTTTACTTGCATCAAACAAAATATTGAAGCTGTTCATGACTAGGTCATAGCACATAAATATGATCGTATCACAGATACAAGTCACAACATTCAGTTCAGTTTTGTCCTGTCTAGCTGTAGTATGAAAGGTGGCGCAAAATTGCCCACACACGCCTCAGTTCAGTTTTGTTCTGTCTATCTGTAGTATGAAAGGTGCCAGATTACCCCTCGTACAGTCACAGGCGACAATGGGCTCTGTGTCCTGTGACACAAGGCCGCGAGTACCTGGCACGGCGTCCAGCAGAGTCTTGGCCAGCTGCAGCAGGAAGGGCGGCGCCCGGTCGAGGCCGTGCGGTCCCCGCAGGCGACAATGGGCTCTGTGTCCTGTGACACAAGGCCGCGAGTACCTGGCACGGCGTCCAGCAGAGTCTTGGCCAGCTGCAGCAGGAAGGGCGGCGCCCGGTCGAGGCCGTGCGGTCCCCGCAGGCGACAATGGGCTCTGTGTCCTGTGACACAAGGCCGCGAGTACCTGGCACGGCGTCCAGCAGAGTCTTGGCCAGCTGCAGCAGGAAGGGCGGCGCCCGGTCGAGGCCGTGCGGTCCCCGCAGGCGACAATGGGCTCTGTGTCCTGTGACACAAGGCCGCGAGTACCTGGCACGGCGTCCAGCAGAGTCTTGGCCAGCTGCAGCAGGAAGGGCGGCGCCCGGTCGAGGCCGTGCGGTCCCCGCAGGCGACAATGGGCTCTGTGTCCTGTGACACAAGGCCGCGAGTACCTGGCACGGCGTCCAGCAGAGTCTTGGCCAGCTGCAGCAGGAAGGGCGGCGCCCGGTCGAGGCCGTGCGGTCCCCGCAGGCGACAATGGGCTCTGTGTCCTGTGACACAAGGCCGCGAGTACCTGGCACGGCGTCCAGCAGAGTCTTGGCCAGCTGCAGCAGGAAGGGCGGCGCCCGGTCGAGGCCGTGCGGTCCCCGCAGGCGACAATGGGCTCTGTGTCCTGTGACACAAGGCCGCGAGTACCTGGCACGGCGTCCAGCAGAGTCTTGGCCAGCTGCAGCAGGAAGGGCGGCGCCCGGTCGAGGCCGTGCGGTCCCCGCAGGCGACAATGGGCTCTGTGTCCTGTGACACAAGGCCGCGAGTACCTGGCACGGCGTCCAGCAGAGTCTTGGCCAGCTGCAGCAGGAAGGGCGGCGCCCGGTCGAGGCCGTGCGGTCCCCGCAGGCGACAATGGGCTCTGTGTCCTGTGACACAAGGCCGCGAGTACCTGGCACGGCGTCCAGCAGAGTCTTGGCCAGCTGCAGCAGGAAGGGCGGCGCCCGGTCGAGGCCGTGCGGTCCCCGCAGGCGACAATGGGCTCTGTGTCCTGTGACACAAGGCCGCGAGTACCTGGCACGGCGTCCAGCAGAGTCTTGGCCAGCTGCAGCAGGAAGGGCGGCGCCAGGTTGAGGCGCGTGCGGTCGACGCGCACGTCGACCTGTGCCGCTCGGGCCGCTCCCACGCGCACGCTGCAGTCTATGAGCGGCGGGCGCCGGACGCTGATGCCGCCGGACGCTCGGGTGGCACCGCCTTGGCATTGGAAGATTCTGGGACAAAATCGGATATCTTGGCAAAATACATATTTTATGGAAAAAACAACGAGTGACAATCTTATGTATTGAATGCATGTTGTCACGTAAGCATAGACGTGAGCATGGCTCGCACGTCCCGTAGTAACGCCCACCTCTACGTTAACTCATATTATTTTCCATGACTGAAAATTCGAAGAGGTATCCTGAAAAAATCGGGGCATGATACTTCATAGCACTGGTCTTTAAGTTCAAAATTCAAAATTCTTTATTTCTTTATAAAGGCTTTAAGTTATTAACGTACCTCTTGATCACAATAGTGGGGTCAGGCCTAATATCCTCAATGAGCAAGCTTTGCAAGCTAGCCTTCATCTCTGTGCTGCTATCCGAGTAATAGTCCAGTTGCACCGTCGCCTCGCCAGCGGTTAGTTTCGCTAAGCCATGGTTCAGATCGCGCACGGGCGAGCTTAGAACTTCATCCATATCCGAGAATAGTTTGAGTTCGACGCCTTCGAGGGTGAACCTAGAAACGGGAAAATAATTTAGATTGTATTACTCTGAAAAGACAAAGATCAAGTCGAGTACACACTTGAGCTTAGTATTGTTACTGTTCACTTTGCATTTCTGTATATCAAAAATATTGCTCCAGTTTCAGGGTAACAATTTCCTTCAGAAAATATGAAACATACATGAAAACATAAATCGCTCACCTAAATACAGCCTCTTTTCTGATAGGCTCGCCTTGTGCCAGGAACGCTTGAAGTTTCTTCACCGAAGCATCTGAGGGCGCCACTTCAACGGGAGAAGTTGGCACTATGTTCCCTGTATACAAAAGTAAAGTTTTATTCGTTGTAGTAGCCAGATAATGTCTGAAACGCTTTATTTTTAACCGCCTCTGTGGTCTAGTGGTAAGACCACCTGCTTCAGACCCAAAGGTCCCGGGTTTGGTTGGTGGTAGGGCTTGTTTTAAGTCCGCCTGGCTAGCTACCACCATCTTACCTAAGTCTGTCGCCATAATAACAATGTTAACAGCATTGTTGTGTTCCGGCAGTTAGAGGTAAGATAGCCAGTTCTTCCGGGGTTAAGAATTCCGGGTGAAGATCGCTTCCACTTTCGGCTTGATCATTACTTACCATCAGGTGAGATACAGGCCAAAGAGCTTCCTCATTGTGGATAAAAAAAAAATTCTCTTCGAAAAAATACACGATCAGTATGACTTCCATCCAGCTGCCAGGATCATCTTGAGAACTGAATTTATCCAAGCATTTGCCCTAATAGGATGGGGACATGGACTGAGGAGCTGACGTCATCCAGCTGGACAGTATAGCAGTACGCTGTCCACATGACGTCGCCTCGAGGCGGCGTGACGTCACGCGGGACACTGACCGATGTAGTGCGCCTCGCTCAGGTTGTCGGCCCACACGGCGAGCAGCGTGGCCAGGTCGCGCTGTCCCACGTTCAGCAGCACGCTGTCCACGATGACGTCAGCTTCTAACGCCGGGTGTTCCCGCGCTGCGCCGGCGCCGCCTGCTACCAGACGCTTCATGTCGCAGCGAGCGCATACTGGCTCGAGGATCGGCTCCTGTGGACAACCCAACAGTGGCTCGATTACGGGACTGTTCCCACCTCTAGTTCCTACCGCTGCAACTCCTGTGTAGCCAGGATCTACAGCTTGACCGCCAATAAAAACCCAACCAGTGAAGGTCGTTTGTCCGGGGGGAAATTTTAACTATCGCGAAGCGCTGGTAGAGCCCAAAAGATAAGGAGACATGTAAAGTGCCCCATAAGGGCTACCTTTTCTTTTTTTATTATTTTCTATTGACGTTCATAAGTGCCACTTGTGGTCTAAACTGAATAAATATTTTTGATTTTGATTTTTGATTTTATGATTGGACCCGCAACGAAATTATATGAACATAGGAGTTCGAAGTTAAGGTACGACTTCCCCAGTGCATAGCGGATGACAGGAGACAAAACAAAGTCGCTCGATTAGTAAGACGCTTTTCTCGCCCCCACCCTTTCTGAACCTCGCACTGACTCTCACCAACTCCGTCCCACGTAATAATACACGCCTCCCGAATCGAAGTTGGGAACTACTTTATATTTTGATTTTATTGTCGATTTATTCATTGGAGTTTTTTCGTTAGAAAGAATAAATTAACGATGGATTACTTAGTCGTTTATCGATTGCTTATTGCTGAAATTAAATACAAATAACAAATCATAAATATTTTACCTGTACTTCCAAAGTGCCTGCTAACGTCATCACGGCCCTAGACAGCGTGACGTTGACGAGCTTGATCAGTATATTGTCTATGATGGGGCTCTGCACGGGACTGCTCGCGTCCTGGCCCGGGTTCACTAGCTTGAAGAAGTTCTCTATGGACAAGTCACCTGAAAAATATGCAGCGTAAGTGGCAATAAGTTCAGGGAAATGTTCAGGGAAATTTGTTGGTGTACCTAATAAATAAATAAATAAATAAATAAAATGTATAAAATATTAATTAAAAAGTGTGTATTTACTTACCCATGTTGAGAACCAGTAAGTTGGGCGAAGATGGCTTCTGAGGTAATAGTAGGACTGGTGCATGTATCTAAGAAAACAAAAGAACTTATAGTTAATCATCAATCAATAAAACTGGATTTTATTATACAGAAATGTATCTATTACGGAGCAGCTCACGTTTTGTCTAGCGTATCGTATACCATCGAAATCAAGCTGAATTTAGCCAGGAACTCTTTGTAGAGAAGATACGAGACAACAAATTAATATGAAAAATTTTAATGATATGGTGGGTTGGTTATAGTGACCTTTCCCCTCTACCGTTAACTACACCACACCACCCACCCAACAAAATAGAGCAAGCTGCATAGTGTTGATCTAAAGAGGACAGTCTCAGAATGGATGCGGAATGTAGGAGGTGAACCTAACAGTGGGATAAGTAGGCAGAGGTTGAGGACCTGTATGACGAGGTTGAGGCGCGCAGCGGTTGAGCGCAGGGGCCGCGCACGCGCCGCCGCCTTTTCAGCTGCCGCCGCCGCCTGCCCCGCCGCCGCCGCCGGAATTAGTGGCTCTAGGAATTGCTGGAAAAAAGTACAGACGTCGTTATTAAAATGTGTGCAGTTATCAACCCTCAATCTACAAAATTAGTTCAGGAAATCTCGTTTTATGAGTTGAGTTGCAGTTTCAGAATAGGATTCTTTACTGTCAAAGATCATTCCTCTACATGCAGGTAATTTAATATCTATCTTGCGTGGTTATTTAGAAAAAATATGAAAAATTAAAGGTTCTCTACAGGTTGTTAGGTAAATATGTATATGAGCCGACGACACTAGCCCATGTTAAAATGGGCATATAAATGGTATGGTGAAGTCAGAAAATAAATAACATGGGCTAGTGTCGGCTCATATATCCATTTACCTAACACCCTGTATACAAGTCTAGGATGGATCACATAGTTTAATTAGTCCGTGATTTTTCCAGTGTAGTGCCTGAAGCGGACTTGATAAATGTTTCAGCAAAACGCACAGCTTTGAATAGAGCTCTGTGATTGGTCCGTATCGTATGTCACCCTCTGCATCCACGCGCACTGTGAGACCTCATAGTAATGTTTGTGAATACGGGCGTTAATATCTGTCTTGCATGATTATTTAGAAAAATCAAAGGTTCTCCATACAAGTCCAGGATGGATCACTTAGTTTTAATTAATCAGTGTTTTTTTCTGTGTGGTGTCTTAAGCTGACTTTTGATAAATGTTTCAGCAAAATTCACCCGTATTCACAAACGAAAGCATCGTTGAATCGCTTTAGGGATGTCAAAATGACAAGGTTATTCTTCAGTTAAAAGATATCTGACGATTGAAAAATCAGCCCTAAGGCCCAGTTTTTTTATTCATAGTTAAAATAACAAATTGTTAAATTTTGCTACTAATGGTTAAATATTAACAAAATGTTAACTAATAGTTAAAAAATGTATTAAAAGTCGAGCTAACCATTGTTCGAAAAACATTTTTTTCTGATATTTAACCACTTGTCATTTGACATCTGTCAAATTTGACCATTGGTTATTTTAACTACGAATCAAAAAACCGGGCCTAAGTGAAGCACAATATCGAACGCACAGCTTGAATAGAGCTCTGTGATTTGTTCGTGAGACTTCATAGTAATGTTTGTGGGCATCAGACCTGCAGCTGCATGAGCACGCAGTGGAACAGCACGACGTGCACGCGGCCCACGTGCACGCGCAGCTCGCCGTGCGCCTTCAGCTGCGCGTCGCCGTACAACCGAGGGGCTGCGCGCACGTACTTGATCTCCAGTACTTTGTCTTCGTCCGGCCACACCAGCTGGAAAGGAGTACCATGTTAAAGTCTGGTCTGCGAGCACGTAGAACTTTGTCCAATGACCCCAAGCTACCCATCCTTATGTTGCTGTCGCGACTGTGCGACGAGCGCCCGCAGTGAGTGTGCGAGCGCGACAGCAACATAAATACGCGCGAGCAATAAGGATGGGTAGCTTGGGTTCATTGGACAAAATTCTACGTGCTCACAGACCGGGCTTTATATTCATGAATTGAAGCAAATTGTAATGCTAATGAACACTGGAGTTGTGCTACCAGTGGCCTAATTCACGTATTTTGACAGTCAAGATCTCGCTGACGTTTAGAAGTCGTTCCATTCAAAAACAGTTCTAAATCCGTATTCACAAGGGTCATTTTGATAGAACGATTACACGATAGGATCGCAAATCAGTGTTTTGTTGTCATTGAAGTTTTGTTATGTGAATAAGGCTACAGTGCACCACTTGGTGAAGTTTTGTCACTGGCGATGATTATGACAGCAACATCAATTCGTGCACTGAAAAAATTTGAGAAATTTTTACTCACCATTAGCGCTGCTGGGTGTTTCTTTACGAGATCGAATCAGAAATGAGCAGACCCGTAAAGGAACTAAAGTCGCTGACATAGCCCGACGGATTAGCGAGCTGAAGTGGCAATGGGCAGGGCACATAGTACGCAGTACTGACGGCCGATGGGGCAGCAAGGTTCTGGAGTGGAGGCCACGTACCAGAAAACGCAGCGTGGGAAGTCCACCCACAACGTGGACTGACGATCTCATAAAGGTAGCATGAAGGCGCTGGATGCAGGCCGCTACCAACTGGGCGATGTAAAAATCATTGGGGGAATGGACGACGCCGCGAGCCACGATGCTTGTGACCACGGCTGCAGCATCGAAGCCGAAACGTCAAGCCGTGAGTACATAATGTAACTCATTAATAAACGTCGCGTTAAGACCCGTGTCTTACTATTTTAATCATTGGGGGAGGCCTATGTTCAGCATTGGGCCATTGGACATCCTGTAGCCGAATTGATGCTGATGATTGGCGCCGTCTGGCGACTGAAAATACAAACACCCTCGTTGATATTCCCTTTTAAGGTTATTATCCACATTACCTTGGGGTACAGCGTGGCCTCGGACAGGTCGTCGAGGTGCAGCGAGCTGAGGTACAGGCGGAACACGCAGCGGTCGTTGGCGCGGAACACGCAGTCGCTCTCCAGCGCTATCAGCCGCAGCTCTAACAACGCGCTGTCTAGCTGCCACAGCCGCAAGCTCAAAGATGTGGCCCTGCACACATTGATATATCAGATAACACTGTGCCCAGCCCCAGAAATACGTAGATCCTGGCTACACAGGTGTTGCAGCGGTGGGAACGAAGGATAGGAATATTTCCGTTCTAGGAGGGGGATTTCTGGGGCTTGACAATTTGCCTGGAAAAAGGGGGACAAAGGACGACGCTGTCAATGACGTAGCCCTGCACATATTATGCAACAGATAACTGTACAGTACTCCAGTCCTACTCCAGAACCGGACGATGCCACTGTGCAGTGACGTCAAGCCCTGCGGGTAGCGAAGGATCGGGAGCTACTTTGGCTTCCGCTCTGTCACTGAAAGATTGCGCGTCTCATATTTTGTAAATGTCATAACAACCAGTAAATCTTTGTAATATACGAGTACAGTCCACTCTTTCATTTCAATACAAGTCAGTAACAAAAGGACAGAGGACGACACTGTCTAGCCTCCACAGCGGCACTCTCAGTGTAGCCCTGCAGACATTACGCAGCTGTCCAAATGGTGCCACTGTGCAGTAACTTCAAGCTCGAGAAAGGGAGACTTAGACGAGGAGATAAACATGTTGTAGAAACAGACAAACAGGCAGAGTGCACACTGCCTGGCAGACGCAGAATCATGTATCTTCCGATCAACACACGGTGGATCGTCGCGTTTGGCCCTAGCTTATCAGACACATTTTCATCAATAGAGAAGTATGCATTGATGTTTATCATCACTCGTTGGTTTCCGAAAGAATCAACAGAAAGTTATAATAATTCCACGGTAGGTATCACTGGTTATAACTTATTTTAACTCTACTTTACCTGACTGAATAACTGAACTTGGTGGCGCCCGGAGGAACGGGCGGATCGGCCTCGGGCTTCATAATGTAGTCCCACAGGGTCTGGGCTCGAGGCGCTACCACCTTCTTTATATTCAGGGCCCGGCGGTTTTGTATCCTATGAAACATAGAAGTTAGATTTATTTTATTGGTAGCAAATCATCAATGTATCGTATTATAACGAAAGGGTTTTCTCAATCATAAGGGGTGTCAGGTTTCGGCCTTAATCACTTGGCTATCGCAGTGTGATGGCATGATACGCAGTGAAATGTTGCTGCGTCCGAAATCTTGATTTGGAGGATGTCTACATCTTAATCTTAGTCGATGGACTGACTCTATCCAGTGAAGGTCACGGGAAGTACCTAGATGCGGGTAGCATAGCCCAACGACCAAACTATCGGAAAAAGACGCTCACTCGCTAACTCATATACTTCTGGTTATACTTGCTGCTCGCTCATTCGTAGTCTACATTGGGGTAAGAGCCGTACTCTAACATGGTTCATGAAAGGTTCAACACCAGAGACCGCTCCACATTACAGTACACAGTAACACAGCAGCATTCATTAAGTCTGCGGGCACAAAACTGGCGACGGCCGAGCGATGGGCGTGGCGACGCGACTGGGAGCGGCGGCGCTGAGGAATAGTATTGCGATCGCCTCGCTCCGCGCCGCCCATTTCGTGCGCGTCACCATAATACAGTGTGAGTCACGTTAAAGTGTACATATGAAAATAGATGAAACTAGACCTATTTTTATCGACAAAAAAGAGGTCAAAAATTTTTTGAGATTTTTTTTTAATTTTTTATAGAATTTTTTTTCTTCCAATTACTTATTGTAAAGAAAACGTAATAACTTTTAAACTAAGAGGTATGTTAATGACGTAGTCGAGGACGTTCAGCATGTCTTAGCGCAGTGTGTCCGGAACGAGTCTCTCCGTCAACAATATTTCGGTAGAACCACGCTTGATATTGGTTTCTACAACAGTATCCTAGCTGTACCTATAAGCGAGGAAGCCCGAAAATTATGCAAATTGTTAACTTCCCTATGTGGAAGAAATAGCTGAATTAGGCACATAACCATAATTATTGTAATAGATTCTAAGAAGGTGATTACGGGGGTGACATAGTCACTTTGACAAAACCCCCTATAAACAATAAAGATTAAAAAAAAAAAAAAAGGTATATCCTGATAAAATAAAAACAGTAATAATGCTAAATAACAGGCGATACTAAACAAATACATAAAAACACAAAAAAGGTCAACAAATAATAAAAAATGATACTTTTTGAAAAAAATCTGCTTTTAAATTCGCGTTTTTTTTTTTGGTTATTTGATAAATTTCTCCAAAAAAATTCCCCTATAACAGGTGGTTTTTATTACTTTGTATTATTCTCTATCGTATTACCTTCGTAAAACTTAAAATCGTCTTAGTTTAAAAGTTATTACGTTTTCTTTACAATAAGTAATTGGAAGAAAAAAAATTCTATAAAAAAATAAAAAAAACATCTCAAAAATTTTTTGACCTCTTTTTTGTCGATAAAAATAGGTCTAGTTTCATCTATTTTCATATGTACACTTTAACGTGACTCACACTGTATAATATGACCTTTAAAATAGTACCATTTTTATTTACAAATCTTCTATTAGCCATTTAGTTCTTACGATGGCTCGAAACGCATAGGGTGATTCCATACTTTTGCTAGCGAGTGTACTTCTAGCTCTACTTGATGGTTCATGAAAGGTTCAACACCAGAGACTCCATATAGTAGCATTCATTAAGTCTGCGGGCACAAAACTGGCGACGGCCGAGCGATGGATGAGGAATAGTATTTCAATAGCCTCGCTCCGCCGCCGCCCCGTCCCGCTGTCGCAATCGCTCGGCCCGTCGCCAGTTTCGTGCCAGTAGACTAAATCTTCCTACGTGCAGTAGTTTGGACACGCAGGGCACGACATCATGTGCTTGTTCACTCACTTGTCGCCCACGTACTGCAGGTACTTGACGAGCGTGTGTAGCGCGGGCGCGTGCAACAGCACCGATAACGCTCCCACGTCCACCACCAGGGATTGTTCCACGCTGTGGAAGTGTGAGCGGAACTCCGGGCAATCGGCGCGCACCTGTAAACACAAGCTCATTCTGAGTTTTGAGGCGGAGTCACGACTCCACCTTGCGGATGCGGAACGTCCGCATGAAAACGTTGTAATCAAATCAAAAATATTTTATTCAATTTAGACCACCAGTGGCACTTATGTACGTCAAAATATAGTAAACTAGCTTTCAGCCCGCGGCTTCGCCCGCGTGGAATTTTGTCTGTCACAGAAAAACTTTATCGCGCGAGTCCCTGTTTAAATACCGGGGTAAAAACTATCCTATGTCCTTTCCCGGGACTCAAACTAACTCGCCAAATTTCATCAAAATCGGTTCAGTGGTTTAGGCGTGAAAGAGAGACAGACAGACAGACAGAGTTACTTTCGCATTTATAATATTAGTATAGATTAAAAAAAAGGTAACCCTTATGGGGCACTTTACATGTCCCCTTATCTTTTTGGCCCTAACAGCGCTAATTGTTTTTAGATCGATTTAAAATTTTCGCTATGGGGCGTTTAGAGGACGCTTGAAAAATGGTCTTATGTTCTAAAGTTTAAGTGCTTGTTCACGTTGACTGGCGGGCGCGGTGACGAAATATCAAACATATGTAGTGATTCCAAGTGTTCACGTACGAAACGCAGGTGCGGTCTAACTAGCGGGCAAGCTAGCGACTGGCGCGCGCGGAGCGCTCGCGGTAATTTCAACGCGTGAAGATGTTTGTGTGTGTTCATGTCACAAACTAGCGGCGGCGCGCGCGTTTCACTTGTCGCTAGAAACGATAGTACGTCACACTCGCGCGAACGCCTGGTCGTCAATGTGAACACGAGCTCGCGACGTTTCCCGCGCCCGCGCCCGCGCGTGCCTACGTGAACAAGCACTAAGACAAATGGGCCTCAAGCTACAGTACCACCAGGAAAATAAAAAAATAAATTAATAAAATGTTAAGTGTGTGTAATATAATGATGCTCCAGCTCTCACCTTCCTATACAGCAGATTGAACAGCTCGCCATCACTTGTCAGCAGTTCCAAGTACTGCTTAGATACAGATCGGTGCAACTTGTCAGCCAACAGCAGTTGTCGAGCCGCCAGCTGCACGGCGGGCCCGTAAGCACTCGCGCCATAGCTCCACGTTCCAAGATGAGTTCAAGTGTGTAATATAATGATGCTCCAGCTCTCACTTTCCTATACAGCAGATTAAACAGCTCGCCATCACTTGTCAGCAGTTCTAAGTACTGCCCAGATGCACTTCTATGCAGCTTGTCAGCCAGCAGCAATTCGCGAGCCGCCAGCTGCATAGCGGGCCCGTAAGCACACGAACCATATCTCCGCGCTCAAAGGAGTTGAAATGTGTAATATGATGATGCTCCAGCTCTTACCTTCCTATACAGCAGATTAAACAGCTCGCCATCACTTGTCAGCAGTTCCAAGTACTGCCCAGATGCACTTCTATGCAACTTGTCAGCTAACAGCAGTTGGCGAGCCGCCAGCTGGACAGCGGGCCTATAAACACTCGCGCCATAGCTCCACGTTCCAAAATAAGTTGAAGACTGAAGTATGTGTATAGATTGTGCCATCCACGAAGACGCGCCCCACCAATTTTTATGGAGGGAAGCGCGGGGTGCCGGGAGTTTGATCCGAGCAATCTGAGCGTCATTATTGTAGTGTGCGTGTGTATAGATAATTTAGCGTGTACCGATAACACTCAAACAATAGCGAAAGAATGATAGAGCGCGTCTTTGTGGATGGCACGATCTATAATATTATGATGTCAACCTAGCTCTCACCTTCCTATACAGCAGATTAAATAGCTCGCCATCGCTAGTCAACAGTTCCAAGTACTGCCCAGACGCGGACCGATGCAACTTGTCAGCTAACAGCAGTTCGCGAGCAGCCAGCTGCACAGCAGGCCCGTACGCAAACGCACCATAGCTTCACGTTCCAAGAAGGGTTAAAGTTGTTTTTTTTTTCGGAAGGACTGTGCTGATAGCCGTGAGCGGCTTTCTCAGCTTCACCGGACAATAAAAAGGGTTGAAGTGAGTGTAATGTAATGACGCTCCAGCTCTCACCTTCCTATACAGCAGATTGAACAGCTCGCCGTCACTTGTCAGCAGTTCCAAGTACTGCCCAGATGCACTTCTATGCAGCTTGTCAGCCAGCAGCAGTTGTCGAGCCGCCAGCTGGACAGCGGGCCCGTAAGCCATGAGAGCCACGTCCACACACGCCTTGCTGACACTCAGCATCACGTAGGGTCTGTCTACCTGCTCCGTCGAGCGGGACAGGTTGATCACTATCTCACCTGCACAGGAACAAAATAGGAGAAATGAATACAATTTTAGGTACTTTTGTTGAATTGTTCTCGGATGTTATAGAGTTAAATGATTCTAGTTTAAGTATTACATCACTAAAACACAATCACAATTATTATTACTCGATGACATACGACACTATGGCAGAATCACGTATTAGCAAACACGTTCTTCGCAAAGCGGTTGTGACATCAAGATATTCCGTCGTCTTTCCTTGTTAGCAAAAAGTCTGGCGCAATAAGAAACTTGGTGGTATTAATGGACACTCACTCTTTCTATACAAAAGGCGACTAGGGGACAAGAATCTGAAAACCAGGCATCACCAACCTGTCTTACCAGGGTGAGAAGTAGAGTAATTCAAATCCTGCATTTGTCTCCGGTAAATTGGAGAGGTTCGGGCTCCTAAAGCAGATACTAATTGACCTGATGTTAACAACTCGTTCGTTCGTTGATTCGTTCCAGCCAAATAACGTCTACTGCTGAACAAAGGCCTCCCCTAAGGATTTACAGAACGACCGGTCCTGCTCTGCACGCAACTAGGTCGCGACCACCAGCCTCTCTCTCGGTTGGACGTAGTTTGGGCAGGCCTCCCACTAGGTGGATCGACGATCTGGTGAAGATCGCTGATGACTCACCGACGACGAACCGCAGCAGCACGTTGATGTGGTTGCTAGGGGACACGTTGTCGTCGAAGCCGGGCAGGTCGACGGAGCGCGCGTAAAGCTCCATATCTTCATCGCTGTGCTCTGCTGAGAGGAAGGCCGGCGCCGCCGCCTGGAAGCCCAGGCGGGCGCCGTCGCGGTCCATGCATGACTCGCCCGCCCTTCGATAGGCAAGGAAAACATTTTGTCATACATAAGGCTGTATGTGTCATATGTGTGTGTCAGAAAAATTATGAGCCATATATGTGTGAAAAGAAGTGTCACGCGTCGATAAATAAATAAATAACTTTTTATTCTCACCGCAGTAGGTAAACTAAAACAACTAGGTACAATGAAGGTAGGACAAGAAAAAACCCGCAGTATTACATTGTAAGCAGGTTTGGTACGTACACAATATAGTTAGTCTCTCAGTAGGACTACGGCGGGCTAATACCTGAATTATTAGGAAAATCCTGTATCTCAGGTTATTAACCCTCCACCCCATTGTAGGGTCAAAACGAAAGAAGAAAAATATTAACAATAATAAGACAACAATAACATGATGAAAGTTAGCTTATTTTATGCTACATAAATTATTTGATTTCCACCAATTTTTTTTTTTGTTCGATGCCACAGTAATTATTTATGGATAAAGACTCGCGTGAGTGCGTCCCCGAAAGTTTTAGCGAAGGCCCTGAAGAATGGCATCCCAATAACAGACAAACCTATCCATTGGTATGAGCTGCACTCTGTTACAAATAACGGAACAGAAAATCAAATATTAAGTGAAATGGAGAAAGAGGCTGTAAGATCAATGAATGAATTTCATCAAGGACACGAGTTTCAGTAATGAAGATCACAAAGAAGTCCTTAATCTACAGTGATACCAACTGTGAGCACAAATACTACGTTAGTCCTGATTGGAAATGATTGAGGTAAAAAATCATAATGCAACAAACAAACCTGCTGCTCCTCAAATAAGCCGCCACAATCTTCTGCCTCAGCTTGACCAAGTCAGGGTACTCGGGATCTCCCGTCACTGTGTCCAATTCAAACAATTCAGCCAATTCTGGATCGTCTAGGTCTTCAGCGTAGTCTCCAGAGTCCAGGAATGAGACCGGCACGGTATTGGGGACTGGCATGGGTAAGTTGTCGGCGAAATCTAGTAAGAGACCGATGATACGGTCTGACAGATTGAATTTTAAGCTGGAGAGAGAGATGTTGAGCTTATATCTGAAAGAGAACAAATAAAATAGCTTGTACAATTTCTTCTTCAAATTGAGTTTGAGAAAATGAAGCAAATGTTAAAATACATAATATGTCTCAGGGAAATGAGAATAGGTACCACTCTTCCCTGCGACATTTACTTAAATAAAAGTTGCCATTTATTTCCTTAAACCTGTATCAATAATTGACTGTCTGGTCTTATTTTGCTGGAATAGCGAGGTATTTAGCCAGCATAATAATATCATATTTAGATCGTATAGCTCGTATAATCTGATCTTACCTCGGCAGTAGCTTGTAGTCTTTCTTGATGCTGTTGGAGAAGACCACTTGCATCTTGATCTTGGGGACCAGATGCAGCTCGGAGTCCGCGTGCTTCCGCTGCTCCCTCCAGGGGTCGTCCCATTCGCAGAACAACACCTATGATGGTAAAATATGTGTGAGTTGTATGAGCGTCAAGAACCGAAGCACAGAATCTCAGGAACTACTAATCCGATTTCAAAAAATATTTTTGTGTTGGATAGCCCATTTCTTGAGGATGGCTTTAGGCTATTAACATCACCCTACAGCCAATAGAGGCGGAGAAGTAAAGAAAAATGTTGCAAAAACGAGAAATATTATTTGAACTATTTTCATGCTTATGAAGTCGCGGGCACAGCTAGTTACATCTTCTTTCCATAACGAATATTTTTATTATTATACAATAGGTGAAGACTACGCGCACGTACACACGCCCACACTGTTAACTATCCATTTCCGTTTTTGCTCTCGCTCTAATCAAATGGCGATTCTTTGCGATAGAACGAGATGACATGACTTTCAATGGGCAGTTAACACTGTTGGCGATAGTACGTCACTCACTACTCGCTCGTGAATCTCTTGTGGATTAATCCCGTCGGCGAGTATGCGTATGTTTCGTTTTCGATGCCTTCTCGTGGAGACGAAAAGGCCTGACTGAAGTACAAAGTTCTCATCTTGGCGCCCAACTTGGTGCGTTGCGATGTTCATGTAAATACTGGTTTCATTCACGCCCGTATTCACAAACGATGCTTGTTTAAGTGAAGTAACAAATCGTACACACAGCGTTGAATAGAGCTCTGTGATTGGTTCGTCTGTCACCCTTTGGGTCCACGCGTACTGTGAGACCTCATAGTAATGTTTGTGAATACGGGCGTTATTCTGTTACATGATGGTCTGACTCAATCACTATTATCGTACAAGTTTATGTAGTAAGTACAGTCAACAGCACATCATATTAAACACTTCTGTTGAACAAAAAACGACGCTGAAAAAGTATAAAACAAGATTTTCAGAATACTGAACTGAACAAAGTCGCTAATGTAGTTGGATAGTAATTTTCATGTTTGGAAACCCGCAGTCACACGTCAAAGTGCTACGGTATATGTAACGTGTGACTACGCCTAATGTACAAGTAAAGCGCTTTCAAATGATACCAAACACGGCATATTTATTTTAACTTTATTTTTTTACTCTGTATGTTTTGTCCGCTAGAGGGCGCCACATTAGATTTTGTGAAAACCCATATAGCCTATAACCAGCGGACAATTAAGACGCTTCTAATGATATGTCATTTGTCGAATTCTGATAAGTAGTTTAGAAGTTACGAGGGAACAGATGAACATACATACATACATACATACATAGCCTGTCAAAATCATAACCTTCCTTTTGCTTTGCCGTAGTCGGGTAATGAACATACATACATACATACATACATACATAGCCTGTCAAAATCATAACCCTCCTTTTGTTTTGCCGTAGTCGGGTAAAAATAGCCTGTATTACAACGGCATAAGATACCTGGCACTCGCATTCAGCATGCAGGCGATCGTAGAGGCGCTCTTCCAGCTCCATGCACGTGGCGTCTTCCAGCGCCAGGTTTGGCGGCTGCAGGTCCGACTTGATCACGATTCGGCTGATGTCCAGGACTAGAAGACGGCCTGACCTGAGAGTGGAATGTTACGTCATTCTACCGATCCTACGAATGTCTAAGTGACACCTCTACAATAACCGACACGGTAACATAAGAGCGGGGTGAGGGGGTTGCGTTATTTGCCCAAAAAAACGGTTACGCTGGCATTGCGGCGAAACTCAGCCAGCACACCGTCGACGCCGACGACGACGTTCGAGTGTAGGGAGTCCTTAAGGGAAGTCGATCTTTTATTTTAATAGGGTTAGATGACAGATAGCTATAGTCAACCTCCATTGGAGGCCAAACTGTAGATCCTATACAGGAGTTGCAGTGGTGGGAAAGAGAAGAGGGGTTAATCCTGGAGTTCCTTCGATATAGCAGCATGGGCTAAAGCGGCAGCAGGGGCGGACCACTGACATTTTGGGGCGTGGGGGCGGGGTTAGTGTCCTGCTAGGACACGGGGTCACTGACCTGCCAGGGCGCGCGTGCTCCGGCAGCAGCACGCAGGGTGCGCGCACGCTCACACTGACGTGGAACAGCTGGCGGCGGCTGACGGCATGTACTAGGGCGGCGCGGCTGACGCATGAGACCCACTGACGTCATAGCGGCGCTTAGGGAGTGGCGGGACATGACCTTCTGGGGCGTGGGGGCGTGGTTATCAATCTGCTGGGGGGCGGGTCACTGACCTGCCAGGGCGCGCGTGCTCCGGCAGCAACACGCAAGGCGCGCGCACGCTCACACTGACGTGGAACAGCTGGCGGCGGCTGACGGCATGTACTAGGGCGGCGCGGCTGACGCGGGCAGCCCTAGTGGCGGCTGACGTCATCGCAGCGCTGAGCGAGTGGCGAGATATGGCCTACTGGGGGGCGGGGGCGAGGCACTGACCTGCCGTGGAACAGCTGCGACGTGCGTGAGACGTCAGAGGACCCACTGATGCTTTAAAGCACGAGGGTGTGGTCACCAACTTGGTGGGGCGTGGGGGCGTGGTTATCAATCTGCTGGGGGGCGGGTCACTGACCTGCCAGGACGCGCGTGCTCCGGCAGTAACACGCAGGGCGCGCGCACGCTCACACTGACGTGGAACAGCTGGCGGCGGCTGACGGCATGTACTAGGGCCGCGCGGCTGACGCGGGCAGCCCTAGTGGCGGCTGACGTCATAGAAGCGCTCAATGATGTCGCTACCTTCTGGAACCTTCTGGAGCGGGGTCACTAACCTGCCAGGCCGCGCGTGCTCCGGCAGAAGCACGCAAGGCGCACGCACGCTCACACTGACGTGGAACAGCTGACGGCGGCTGACGGCGTGTACTAGGGCCGCGCGGCTGACGCGGGCAGCCCTAGTGGCCGCTGACGTCATAGCAGCGCTTAGGGAATGGCGCGACATGGGCCGCGTTTGGAAGAGGTTGATCAGCTCGGTGAACGCGTGCTGTGGGTTGAAAATACGATCCATTAACTTCTGAACACGTAATTATCCTAGTCTGTAAGGGGGCGTCCATAAATTACGTGAGACAATTTTGGCTATTTTTCAACCCCCCCGCCCCCCTTGGTGAGATTTGGTGAGATTTTGCCTGACCCCCTCCCCCACCCCCTAATCTCACGTGATATTAAAAAAAAACGAAATTTAATAGTTTTGGAGTAATTTAACTGAGAAATTTTTTTTTGTGTGCTTAGTGCGAGTTTGCATTTACCGTTGTCGCTGACGAGTGCATCAAAAAGATCTATAAAGTTTAAAATTTTAGTTCTTTAAAGTATCTGCTAGGGACGCTGTACAATCATCATACATTTAATGCATGTCATTTTTTACGCAGTCGCTAGCGGATGACGATCGATATAAAGTCGCACTAAGCCCACTGATTAGGTACGAATAGATCCAGAAAAACACGTGTAGTGACAGCGGTTAGTACTAGGGTCTCATTGTTTTTTTTACAGAAGTACCTAGTCTAATTATCGTCCAGTAAACCCAGTTTTCTGGCAAACTCTATTTCTCTATTTCTTGCGGGAAAAATTACGTGATATTTCCAGAGACCCCCCCTCTCCCCCACGTGAGATTTAGTGAGGTTTTTGTTGACCCCCTCCCCCCCTAAAAGTCTCACGTAAGTTTATGGACGTCCCCTTATCGCTCGCGCGTAATTATGTTGCTGTCGCGCTCGCACACTCACTGCGGGCGCCCGTCGCACAGTCGCGATAGCAATATATTTACGCGCGAGCNTTGGTGAGATTTGGTGAGATTTTGCCTGACCCCCTCCCCCACCCCCTAATCTCACGTGATATTAAAAAAAAACGAAATTTAATAGTTTTGGAGTAATTTAACTGAGAAATTTTTTTTTGTGTGCTTAGTGCGAGTTTGCATTTACCGTTGTCGCTGACGAGTGCATCAAAAAGATCTATAAAGTTTAAAATTTTAGTTCTTTAAAGTATCTGCTAGGGACGCTGTACAATCATCATACATTTAATGCATGTCATTTTTTACGCAGTCGCTAGCGGATGACGATCGATATAAAGTCGCACTAAGCCCACTGATTAGGTACGAATAGATCCAGAAAAACACGTGTAGTGACAGCGGTTAGTACTAGGGTCTCATTGTTTTTTTTACAGAAGTACCTAGTCTAATTATCGTCCAGTAAACCCAGTTTTCTGGCAAACTCTATTTCTCTATTTCTTGCGGGAAAAATTACGTGATATTTCCAGAGACCCCCCCTCTCCCCCACGTGAGATTTAGTGAGGTTTTTGTTGACCCCCTCCCCCCCTAAAAGTCTCACGTAAGTTTATGGACGTCCCCTTATCGCTCGCGCGTAATTATGTTGCTGTCGCGCTCGCACACTCACTGCGGGCGCCCGTCGCACAGTCGCGATAGCAATATATTTACGCGCGAGCGATAAGGATGGGTAGCTTGGGGTCATTGGACAAAATTCTACGTGCTCACAGATCAGACTATAGTTCCCCGTCAGATGACACGCCTTCGATCACTATGCTCTCTGCTCGAGCTGACAGCTGAAATTACGTAAAGTATCTGTCTCCAACCCACCTCCACATAGAGCAGTTCCACCGGCTCCAGCAGCACAGTGAGACCATAATCAGCGTCGCTGTTGACAGGGTTGCGCTCGAAGTCAACAGCGAGCAGGTTGGCTCCGGCGCCGGCGCCGCGCTCGGGCGTTAGTAGCGGCACAATTTTGTCCAATGACCCCAAGCTACCTATCCTTATCGCTCGCGCGTAATTATGTTGCTGTCGCGCTCGCACACTCACTGCGGGCGCCCGTCGCACAGTCGCGACAGCCATATATTTACGCGCGAGCGATAAGGATGGGTAGCTTGGGGTCATTGGACAAAATTCTACGTGCTCACAGACCAGACTATAGTTCCCCGTCAGATGACATGCCCTCGATCACTATGCTCTCTGCTCGAGCTGACAGCTGAAATGACGTAAAGTATCTGTCTCCAACTCACCTCAACGTAGAGCAGTTCCACCGGCTCCAACAGCACAGTGAGGCCATAGTCAGCGTCGCTGTTGACAGGGTTGCGCTCGAAGTCCACAGCGAGCAGGTTGGCTCCGGCGCCGGCGCCGCGCTCGGGCGTCAATAGAGGCACCAACTCGCCGTCGGACGACGCGCCCTCGGTCACTATGTGTTTGGTAAAGCGATGGACTTACCAGAGGGTGAGGAAGAGAGGTCCCAGGAAGCTAATTTGTTGTATTTCGTGCAGTTTCACAGCTTGTTTTTCAGACTTTTGATGTTTTGACGCAAGAGCAGTGTTCGTTCGGGTTGTAGGTGTGCGGGGAAGGGGGAGGGTGGCAAATGACAGGAGCAGGATACGGAAATGTTGCCCAACGCTTCTAGAACGTTCCGGTCGCCGCAATCTTGTCTAGGATGTCACAGATTATAATTTTATCGCTAACACTAGGCTTTCTACTTTTGATTTTGATTTTGATACTCGGGCTGACAGCTGAAACTAAGTAAAGAAAAGTATCTGTCTCCAACTCACCTCCACACAGAGCAGTTCCACCGGCTCCAACAGCACAGTGAGGCCATAATCAGCGTCGCTGTTGACAGGGTTGCGCTCGAAGTCCACAGCGAACAGGTTGGCTCCGGCGCCGGCGCCGCGCTCGGGCGTTATTAGGGGCACAGTTTTGTCTAATGACCCCAAGCTACCCATCCTTATCGCTCGCGCGTAATTATGTTGCTGTCGTGCTCGCACACTCACTGCATGCGCCCGTCGCACAGTCGCGACAGCCATATATTTACGCGCGAGCGATAAGGATGGGTAGCTTGGGGTCATTGGACAAAATTCTACGTGCTCACAGACCAGACTATAGTTCCCCGTCAGATGACGCGCCCTCGATCACTATGCTCTCTGCTCGAGCTGACAGCTGAAATTACGTAAATTATCTGTCTCCAACTCACCTCAACATAAAGCAGTTCCACCGGCTCCAGCAACACAGTGAGGCCATAGTCAGCGTCGCTGTTGACAGGGTTGCGCTCGAAGTCAACAGCGAGCAGGTTGGCTCCGGCGCCGGCGCCGCGCTCGGGCGTCAGTAGCAGCACAATTTTGTCCAATGACCCCAAGCTACCCATCCTTATCGCTCGCGCGTAAATAATTATGTTGCTGTCGCGCTCGCACACTCACTGCGGGCGCCCGTCGCACAGTCGCGACAGCAATATATTTACGCGCGAGCGATAAGGATGGGTAGCTTGGGGTCAATGGACAAAATTCTACGTGCTCACAGACCAGACTATAGTTTCCCGTCAGATGACGTGCCTTCAATCACTATGCTCTCTGCTCGAGCTGACAGCTGAAATGACGTAAAGTATCCTTCTCCAACTCACCTCCACATACAGCAGTTCCACCGGCTCCAACAACACAGTAAGACCATAATCGGCGTCGCTGTTGACAGGGTTGCGCTCGAAGTCAACAGCGAGCAGGTTGGCTCCGGCGCCGGCGCCGCGTTCGGGCGTCAATAGTGGCACCAACTCGCCGTCGGACGACGCGCCCTCGATCACTATGTGTTTGGTAAAGCGATGGACTTACCAGAGGGTGAGGAAGAGAGGTCCCAGGAAGCTAATTTGTTGTATTTCGTGCACTTTCACAGCTTATTTTTCAGACTTTTGATGTTTTGACGCAAGAGCAGCGTCCGCGCGTTTGTTCGGGTTGTAGGTGTGCGGGGAAGGGGGAGGGTGGCAAATGACAGGAGCAGGATACGGAAATGTTGCCCAACGCTTCTAGAACGTTCCGGTCGCCGCAATCTTGTCTAGGATGTCACAGATTAACATTTTATCGCTAACACTATGCTCTCTGCTCGAGCTGACAGCTGAAAATACGTAAAGAGTATCTGTGTCCAGCTCACCTCTACATAAAGCAGTTCCACCGACTCCAACAACACAGTGAGACCATAATCAGCGTCGCTGTTGACAGGGTTGCGCTCAAAGTCAACAGCAAACAGTTTGAGGCACTAGCTCCCTGTCAGATGACACGCCCTCGATCACTATGTTCTCTGCTTAAACTGACAGCTGAAATGACGTAAAGTATCTGTCTCCAACTCACCTCCACATAGAGCAGTTCCACCGGCTCCAACAGCACAGTGAGGCCATAGTCAGCGTCGCTGTTGACAGGGTTGCGCTCGAAGTCAACAGCGAGCAGGTTGGCTCCGGCGCCGGCGCCGCGCTCGGGCGTTATTAGGAGCACAGTTTTGTCTAATGACCCCAAGCTACCCATCCTTATCGCTCGCGCGTAATTATGTTGCTGTCGTGCTCGCAGACTCACTGCATGCGCCCGTCGCACAGTCGCGACAGCCATATATTTACGCGCGAGCGATAAGGATGGGTAGCTTGGGGTCATTGGACAAAATTCTACGTGCTCACAGACCAGACTATAGTTCCCCGTCAGATGACGCGCCCTCGATCACTATGCTCTCTGCTCGAGCTGACAGCTGGAATTACGTAAAGTATCTGTCTCCAACTCACCTCAACATAGAGCAGTTCCACCGGCTCCAACAACACAGTGAGGCCATAGTCAGCGTCGCTATTGACAGGGTTGCGCTCGAAGTCAACAGCGAGCAGGTTGGCTCCGGCGCCGGCGCCGCGCTCGGGCGTCAGTAGCGGCACAATTTTGTCCAATGACCCCAAGCTACCCATCCTTATCGCTCGCGCGTAATTATGTTGCTGTCGCGCTCGCACACTCCCTGCGGGCGCCCGTCGCACAGTTGCGACAGCAATATATTTACGCGCGAGCGATAAGGATGGGTAGCTTGGGGTCATTGGACAAAATTCTACGTGCTCACAGACCAGATTATAGTTCCCCGTCAGATGACGCGCCCTCGATCACTATGCTCTCTGCTTAAACTGACAGCTGAAATTACGTAAAGTATCTGTCTCCAACTCACCTCAACATAGAGCAGTTCCACCGGCTCCAACAGCACAGTGAGGCCATAGTCAGCGTCGCTGTTGACAGGGTTGCGCTCGAAGTCCACAGCGAGCAGGTTGGCTCCGGCGCCGGCGCCGCGCTCGGGCGTCAATAGAGGCACCAACTCGCCGTCGGACGACGCGCCCTCGATCACTATGCTTTCTGTTCGAGCTGACAGCTGAAATGACGTAATTAGCTGTGTACCTATCGATCAATACACTGAAAACTACTAGCTGAAACGTGGTACTAGGTAAATTTTCTATACGGTAAAAACAAGGAATTTGGGAAAAGAGGAGTTAAGGTCTGTATAAAGTCCCTCACTATAGAGTTATGCTAGTGAAGGAGTGCACTGAAGAACTTGGTATTTTAACCGTAAATACGATAAATATAACACTGCTGCTAATGAGGGTTTTCGCGATTGAAAAATCAGCCAGATGGCAATACGTAGACGTGAGGTCCAAATGCTGCATGATTGGTTATTTTAGACATGACATTAACAGATATGTCAAAATCCACCAATTATGCAGTATTTGGACCTCGCGTCTACGTATTGCCATCTGGCGGATTTTTCAATCGCGAAAACCCTCATTGTTCCATAACTATGCTCACCTTATAAGCTTTTGCTGATGGTCTAGTTTCCAAAGACGCCAGAAACTGTGTGAGAGTGACGACCATAACTTCCTTGCTCCTGTTCATTAATGTCAGTGAACAGTTCGCCAGCGTCAAGTTTAGTTTATGTTCTGAAACAATTAGTTCGTTATTAATGGGAAGTAACTTGGCCGTAACATTAAGTTATTGGAGTACATAATATAGAAAAAGAAGGTAGATCACCAATAGTGAAGATCGCGGAGGGTACCGACCAGTCGTTGTGAAAATCTTGAGGGAAGCCTTTGTCTAACAGTGCCCCTCTTTTTGCTAAAACGAACGAACTCACCGATGCACTGCTTGGAGGAGTCCTTGCTCGGAGCGCCTTCTACGTAGCCAATGAGCTCACACACGCGCGCTCGCTCATTACTAGACAGCTGTCCCCAAGGACTACGGCATCGTCCGCGCTTAACACACCGCTCAACTCGTGAGCGAGGCTGCTCGGGCTCCAATGAAGGATTGGTCGGCTTCCACCAGTCGTAATCCCTGTCTTATAAAGGACACTCACCAATGCACTGCTTGGAGGAGTCCTTGCTCGGAGCGCCTTCTACGTAGCCAATGAGCTCACACACGCGCGCTCGCTCATGATTCGACAGAAGTCACAAAGGTGACTGAGTTTCTTCCGCTACTTCTTCTTAGCACCAGCCCATATGTTGTCCCAAAGTGGTGGTAGGGCAAGCTATATTTGGGACGTGTATAAGCGCCATGGAAAGGGCCTATGTACTAAATATTTGAATTTGAATTTGTCCCCAAGGACTGCGGCAGCGCCCGCGCTTGACACACAGCTCCATGCACGAGCGAGTCTGCTTGGAATCCAATGAAGGTCGGCTTCCACCAGTTGTAATCCCTGTCTTATACAGAGAGGAGACACTCACCGATGCACTGCTTAGAGGAGTCCTTGCTCGGAGCACCTTCTACGTAGCCAATGAGTTCACACACGCGCGCTCGCTCATTACTAGACAGCTGTCCCCACGGACTACGACATCTTCCACGCTTGACACACAGCTCAACTCGGGAGTGAGGCTTCTCGGGCTCCGGTTCGGTTTCTGATGATGGACTGGTCGGCTTCCACCAGTCGTACTCGCTTTCTACGACTTCAATTGTCTCTGGCTCTTGGGAGAGCAGCTGTTGGATATACAACACATGTAAGTAAAAGAAGCTTAAGGTAGGCAGGAGGTGTGGAGGTTTTTCTATGCTCTCAAAGTAACTATAAGCTGTTTTTACAGCTCCCTAACTACCCCTGAACAGTCTAATGATTAGACGATAAACCGTACACCCTACGTACAACTACCTCTGAGGCTGATGCGTTGTAGTTGAGGATTTGGAGAGAGATTTGTAGTTGAGAAAGTTTACTGTCAATGTAAGTCGACCCTTTTATTCGCAAAATTGCCCCAACCTCTTAGCGTGCATCGTACTATTTTTGCTAATGCAACCAATAGTATTAAAATATCTCACCTCAAACTTGGCGTGCTCCCTGGCTATGACCACAGAGATGATCGGCAGACTGTCCTCGCACTTCTGAAGGTCCAGCTTCAGCTCTGTATCATTGGGGCTCCTCAGGGTACTCTTGTAGGTCTTCTTGTATACATTGTAGTTTTCCCTGTGCTTCTTGATGGCGGCCCAGGAATAGGGCCTGACTCGTTGTTCCACGACAACGTTGTAAGCGTATTTCCACCATTTCTTCACGTCTTTGTATAATGGTACTCCAGGGTGGAAGTGGCGGTATTTCCTGCAATATTGGTAGAAATCAAAGTTTATTAAGTATTTCGTTACACGTTTGTCTTATGGGGGCGACCACTAATTACGTGAGACAATTTTGGCTATTTTTCAACCCCCGTGTCCCCCCTTGGATTTTGTGAGATTTTCCTCAAACCCCGCCCCCTACTCTCACGTGAGATTTTTCAAAATGCGTAATTGCAAGTAAATGAGTTAATCTTTGGTTCGAGTAGTGGTGGAGCTAGTTAAATTGAGCATAGCTCAATCAGACTTTTCTTCTTCTCGATGATCCCGCCTAAGAAGCCCCTTGACCTCAAGCTGTCTTATTATAGCCTACTCTTACCTGTTGAGCTTGATCCTAGCGAAAGAAGCCAGCAGGTTGTCGACGGACAGGAACTGGCGGCGCGACAGCTGCAGCGCGCTGTCCTGTAATACGGCATCCAGCAACAGGCGAGGAACCCGCGCCTCGCCGGAGCGGTTGATGAGCACCTTCACCTTGCAAGTCACTGGCTTCAGCACTGCCGAGAAAAAAACATAATAGAAATTGAGCCAGAATTGTTAGTGATACTTGACTACCAGAGTCAAGGCTTTCTCCGGAATCCCACAGTTCCTTTCCATTTAAGGGTCATTATTTTAGGCACGTTTTTAAACGGCATCGCCAAAAAAGAATAGAAATCGAAAAGTCACCAAGCAACATATTTTTTCAGGAAAGCCTTTAATCCTCTTCTATCGGGGTCACTTGACTTTCTGAATTCTGATTAGGTAAGCCCCACATAACCTATCCTGTCGTGACAAAAAAGGTTTAGGGTTAGACCTGACGCATATTTTTGGTATCGCTAATATTTTTGGTATCGCTATCGCTATTGGATTTGGCTATTGGTATCTACGGAAATAGAAGTTTATCTATACCACAGATAATCCTCTACTCATGACGTGAAATACAGAATCTGAACTCATAAAAAGAGGATGATCGCTAGAAAGAAATCTCTTCTGACTAGCAAATGCAAAATGACACGCGTTGTTTATATTGTTCTTCTACTAAAAATGATCTTTTGCTAGTACTCCAGAAGCCTAATGACTACAGCTACAACTTACAAAACTCGAAGTCTTCATGGTGCATAGAGAACTTGTCCAGGCCTGTCAGCATGTAGTGCTTCCAGTTGTAATACTGCATAGGTGTGATATGCGCGGTTTCATTGTCGTCCAGCGCAGTCGCCGTCGGATTCCAGTAAAGAGATAGCGATTCCACGCGCATCATCTGGTACACCGTGGTTGCATCCACTGGGGTCACTGATGGCTTCCATTTGCTGAGGATATACAGGTAAATCAGTTACATAAACTATCATAAAAATAGCTGATTTGTTGTGAATGTAAGGTCCCTCGCCCACGGCGACTTTTTGTAGCGATGTAGTAGCGATTCTGTCGCGCGTTCGCATCGATACAGTCGTAATGCCAACCTGTGTGCCCTCGCCCACATAAATGCGCTTCTGTCGCGATGCAAACGCGAGTCAGTAACCCTCCCTCCGTTCTTTCCCCGATTTCGTCCGAAGCAGTCACACGTTTGCATCGATACAGTCGCGCTGCTAAGCGCGTTGGCATGTCATCGATGCTATCGCTCGTTTACGAAACGCGCGACACAATCACTACAAATAAATAGTCGCCGTGGGCGAGGGCCCTGGTGGCGATAGGTACTACACGCTCCAACGCTATGTTTTCTGACTTACCTGTTAGTAGTCTCAATGGACAGACTCTGGAGACAAAGGCCACAAGCCAGTGGTCCGTCCTTGGAGCTGATCGAATCCTCGTACCTCACATGGACATTCCTGACATAAATCTGTAAGTTATTCACGATCGCCGTGAATAGATTCTCGAAGAAATTCTGCGGTCCCTTTAAGATCTCGCTTTCTGCTTCTAAGTCCTGGAGGATCTTCCTCTTGGCTGCCCTCGTGAGGCGCTTCTCTCTTTCTGGGTCGAAGTAGCTGTTGGAAATGGCTGGCCCGACGAGGACCAGTACATCTTCGATGTGGACCACCACTGGCTGGGTGTAGAGACCGGACCATGGTATCTGCAGATTGATCCGGCCGATTGTTCCGATCTTCACATCGATTGGGAGGTCGAGTTCATACTGCAGGAAAATGTACAGTACATTTATTTAGATCCGTATATTGAGCTTACCTAATATCTACTTTTTAATAGCTTTATCGAACTCTTTGATAAGTTGTTCGTTAGAAATTACAATGCGTACAGATATGAGGTAAATTTCTCGCCCATTTAGTGCTACTGAATTCATATAGGTGAATAACCTACCTAACCTATCAAGACATGAGTAAAAAAGTAACTTCTAAGCTAGCTTGCCTAACCATAAATCAAATCTGCCCACTTGTGATTTACTACCCAGTACTACCCAGTGAAACCCAGTTACATTTTATAGTAGGTAAATGACGCCCGTATTCACAAACACTACTATGAGGTCTCACAGTACGCGTGGACGCACAGGATGACACGCGAACCAATCACAGAGTTCTATTCAACGCTGTGCGTTCGATTTGCTGCTTCATTTAAGCAAGTATCGTTTGTGAATACGAGCGTGTGATATCACCAAAATTAACGACAACTTACCAAGGCTTCAGGCTTGAGCTTGAGGTCGGTAAGGTTGACATTCCCGGAGAAGATGCCCACGTTGAGGTTCTCCGTGTCCAGGTCCTGCACGTACTTGCCCAGCAGCCGGTTGAGGATGCCGGCCACCGCGCCCTCGAACATGCTGCCGAGAGGTTAGCTCACGGGGCTGGAGACAAGAGGAGAATAATGAACTCGCTGAAAACCAGCTTCTCGGCATGACGTTTGTGTCATCATGTCGCGATTTTTGCTGAGCGGGCCTATTCGATAGCCGAACGGTGAAGGGGTCGGACTGGCCGACTCGTGATCCGGAGAACGCAGGTTCGGTCCCCGCCGCCACTCGACTATTGTGGTAAGCTCACTCGTGACACAAGCATATTTGGGTCTGACGCAGAATGTGCACTTCGCAAAATGTACACTCGACAAAAAATGCGCATTTCGTATTTGGTGCATTTCTCAAAATGAGAATTTGTTAAATAACAAATTACTAATAATCTTTATATGTATATAGGTCTATGTCTATATGTAAGAACTTTTATACAGTGTGAGTCACGTTAAAGTGTACATATGAAAATAAATGAAACTAGACCTATATTTATCGACAAAAAAGAGGTCAAAAATTTTTTGAGATTTTTTTTTAATTTTTTATAGATTTTTTTTTCTTCCAATTACTTTTTGTAAAGATAACGTAATAACTTTTAAACTAAGCGGTATATCGGTCATTCTCCGGATCTGGATTATTTTGTTGATTACCCCGACCTTTTTTATTTTTGAATTTAGAGTAAGTTTAGGTAAAACATTTCAAAATAGACATTATTAAGAGCATATTTTTTATATTGGCCCATCTGTAGCAAGCAGGAATAAAAAGTTATGCGACATCAAAATTTTCATGGTCGGGGTAATCAAAGTTGGGAGTCAGAGTAATCAAAAATAAAACAAAATATTTTATTTTCTAAGGTTTTTTTTAAGTTATGGTAAAATAAATGTTATTATAACTAGCCATTTGTTATTTTGATGTATAAACGACAATATTGTAAAGTTTCAACAAAATCTGTTAAGTAGTTGTTGCGTAAAAGAGTAAAAAACATACATATACATTATACATATAATATTAGTGACTCAATGTCCTATGTCTCCTATATGGGACAGAAGGCGTCCACAACAGTCCTCCATCGCATTCGGTCTTGAGCTTCGCGTTTGATCTCGCTCCAAGTCTTAACAGTGCGCCGCTATGTTTTTTTGGCGCGACCACGTTTGCATTTTCCCTGGGGGTTCCAATCTAGAGCCTGCTTGGGGATGTGATCGGGGTCCCTTCGGAGTTCCGGTACTGATACCCTTGCTTTACCCTTTTTTCGGCACAATAATTAGAAGCCCCTTATGCCAGTCGTCTGGGACTTCCTCTTCCATCCAGATGTTTTCGAAGACAGGTATCAGGACGTAAGCGACGGAGTTTACATCGGCTTACAGCATTTCAGCGGTGATAAGGTCGAGTCCAGGGGTCTTGCCAATTTTGAGGGATAATATAAAGGGTAATTTTGCTTATTAAACGTTATTTAGTTAATCATTCATTAGTAAAATTACAGTATTATTGATTACTCGGTGACAAAAGTCGGGGTATTCAAGGTCGGGGTAGTCAAAAAATTAAGGTTTATCCTGAGCCCTGCCCAATCTGTAAGTTGAATCCCATATGTTTTAATACACAAAAATGCGGTTACATGGACCATTATTCCTGTACATTCTCAAGAACTTTCCATGTAAAGAAACCTAAAAAAACAGGATAGAGTAAATCAATCATGCACTGAACCAAGGTCGGGGTAATCATATTCTTATCTCGATAACTCCGAAATCCTGCGACGAGTTGCATTACCGATCACCTCGGCACGCAGGCTACCACTAAAGGTTCACGGGGGAGGATAGAGCTCGTTTCTAAATTGCGTAGCTAGGGACGTAGGCGCACATTAGCGACGTGTCGGGGTAATCACGGTTAACGCCCGGACACAACTTCAAATAGTTATTTTACAAAACCTTTTAGTGATATAGTTATATCGTATTTAATTTATCAATGTTTATTTAATCAGTAATCGATTACATAAGCATTGAAAGCGGTAATAATAACGGATTAATTTATACGAGCAAATTTGTTCTGAAATCGGGAGCGCGGACACGTCGTGGTAATCAATTTTTGACGACTTAATTCGTGTTTTTTTGGTTATTTGATAAATTTCTCCAAAAAATGCCCCTATAACCGGTGGTTTTTATTACTTTGTATTATTCTCTATCGTATTACCTTCGTAAAACCAAAAATCGCATGTCTCTATCCCTATCACAACGTTTGCAATGATCGTTTGAACTAAGCCTCTCCGGGCGCGCCATTCAACGCTTCGTTAACAACGAAACTGAAAATGGCTCTAGATTTGTAATTTTGATAAAGACAAGTTAGATTTCAAATAAAAACGAAAGATTTCGAAGTAAAATAAGCATTTTAGTTAAAATTAAAATTGTCTCTACCTGTAGCGGAGAATAATGTTGTGGCAGGCCTTTGTTCAAACGATCATAGCAAATGTTGTGATAGGTATAGAGACATGCAATTTTTGGTTTTACAAAGATAATACGATAGAAAATAATAAAAAGTAATAAAAACCACCTGTTATAGGGGCATTTTTTGGAGACATTTATCAAATAACCAAAAAAATACGAATTTATAAGCAGATTTTTTTTCAAAAAGTATCATTTTTTATTATTTGTTGGCATTTTTTGTGTATTTTATGTATTTTTTTAGTATCGCCTGTTATTTAGCATTATCATTGTTTTTATTTTATCAGGATATACCGCTTAGTTTAAAAGTTATTACGTTTTCTTTACAATAAGTAATTGGAAGAAAAAAAGTCTATAAATTTTTTTAAAAAAATCTCAAAAAAATTTTGACCTCTTTTTTGTCGATAAAAATAGGTCTAGTTTCATCTATTTTCATATGTACACTTTAACGTGACTCACACTGTATACCAACAGATACCAACATTGGAGCAATAAAGAATTTGAATTTGAATTAAAAAAAAAAAATAGGGCTACCGTTTTAGCGCTTTGCACTTCAAAATCCTGTGCTCTACTGATTGAATTCGTTGCAGGTCTAATGACAGTTTACCTTTTCCCCGGGACAAACTTGACTTTCACTGGTTGGGTTTTTATTGGCGGTCAAGCTGTAGATCCTGGCTACACAGGAGTTGCAGCGGTGGGAACGAGAGGTGAGATTATAAGATGAAAGGTCCTGTCGCGTACAGTGGCTAAGACAGTGACGCCAACTGGTGATCGCTGAAGTAGTAGACTTACCAGTATGGCGCCACTGTAGACTAAGGTCCAGCAGTCACTCGCCAGTAGCGACAGCTAAGCTATGAAGTATAAAAACAATAGCACATTGCTTTGTCTTTCGAGAAAACTACCGATGATCTGAATCGGTAGTAGTTCGACTTGCAAACGAAAGTAGTTAGCATAGTAAATTATGACGCCAGTCATTCAGATAGTTTCGTTTAGTGTTACGCTTGGTGAGAAATGAAGTGCTAACCGCAGTAAAATAGGATTATTCTCAATTTCTTTCTAACTGCTGCAACTCCTGTGCAAACAGGAACTGTAGTTTCATCACCAATATAACTAGCAGTGAAGGCCAAGTTTTAAGTGACACGTGGGAAGTGAATTGGTCTGACAGCAAATAACAATGAGAACAAAGACCCAGTTGTTGATGATAAGCAGACTTGGTCAACTCTTTGACAGCTATTAAATATCAATCATTCTATACCAACCAGCGAGAGTACGAGTTTACCCTAAACCTGTCAACATAATCTGTCTGTCGATGACTCATGCCCGCTAAGAATATTAAAGAGGGATTAGGAAAATTTTCGCCTAACTTGATGAAATCAATTTGATCAGGAACTCTACAACGTAATTACATAAAGCTGATGTTGTCATCATAATACCTACTGCGTCGAAGTATTGGAAACTCAATATACAGTCATAAGTATAAAAGTATCTCGTTATTAATTATTCTGAAGTCAGTGTCCATGTAACTTCAAAGCGGATCGTGTAATGTGTTGTCATGACTCAGAATAGTGTATTCATAGGCAAGTTACGAAAGCGTGGATTTATTACAAAAGCAATCTCTTAAGAGATATGAAAATTTATACCAACATACCCTAGTGCTCCTCACAAAATCAATATTGAGTCAAGCCCTGCTGGGCTGGGGAGGCTACGTGGGCGTATGAACACAAGACAATAACATTGGAATCGTCAAAAACAACGCGATCGTTTACAAACACTGGTGATAAGTGTTCGGGTAAACGTTATATTAAATTGATATCAGCTTATCGGTGATAGCGATACGTACACGCGTAATTTGAAGACAGACCGATCGAACGATTGAAATGATTGGTTCGTGACAAGGCTTTCCAAGGCCGACATGGAAGGCACTTCGGAAGCGACACGCAAGTTCCAGAATATCTGTACCCACAATATAGTAGAGCACCAGTTTTGTTCAAGGGAAACTTATTTCATTACGCTGTAGCGCGGCGGAATAGTGACGAACTTATCTGCTATTCATTACACAGCTTCCAACTTTAATGCTGCACAAATTGCTTTCAACTAAGTACTTAAGTAAGTAATATAATTCATACGTATAAATAAGTCCGCGTAGTTCAGGCTTTAGAGACTTAAACTCTATCGATTCTGTTCTGCTCCTGTGTTTGATTTCGCAGGGACACAGAAACTGAAAAATCTCTTTTGGATGACGTGCGAACATTCTTTTTTCTCAATCAATCAATCAATAAAGCATTGGTGTTGGTTAGCTTGTTAATAATTTAAGCTACTGAAATCAAACAGTTAATACGAAAAGCTAGAAGGGAAGAAAAATAGTAAAGAAGTTTTTAGGAACACCATCATAATAAGCAAAAACTGCTGCAAACATCTCTAAGAAAATGCGAAGAGTAATGATCTGGCGGCAAATTAAGTGGTTAACTCAGTCTGACAACTGAATAAGCTCTTTTTCATAATCCAGCGCGAAATTAAAAAACGCATTGTCAAGCTGAGCACGCACCGAGTGTCCGGAGAGTGTCTCCGACGGTTTAATAGGTCGAGCGGCGGTGTTAAAATGCAAATTTCTGAATAAATTAACGACGTTATGAAAAATATTATAGCTGGGATGAAAGCCTGGGAAACAAGGAAGGATTATCTCGTAAACGAGTATCGAGTGTTTGGGCAGAGGTTTATATTGATGGTATACCTACTCGCATATGTCTCTACAAGAATCATAATATTGTCTGCAAGAAAATATGCCTCTAGGACTCTCGGCGCAAAATGGAAACGTTGCAACGCAAAGTTGAGTGAAATCTTAATTCACAATCACAAATAATACTTACAAAGTATAAGCAGTTTTCATTTTCCCAAAAATGTTAGAACATTTTCATGACCTTTCATCGATACGACGAAATTAAAACGGTCTTCAGCCATTCTGTGTTTACACAGACCGGTTGAGGCAAGGTAATTAGCAAGCTGTATTATAACACGAAGGACAAAAGCTAGACTAAATTAAAACTCTCGTACTTGTGCTGAAATGTAATAAGATCGTGGAACCGAACCACTTTTTTCCATTAGACTGAAGGCTAAATTGTTACAAATTGCTCTAGGAGCGCCGTATACATGTCGATTACCGAGAAAAGTCTACAAACAAACATAACTACGGATAGAGCGAAGCTCACATCAGAAGCTAGTTCAATTAGAAGCGGGTAACTGATAATTCGATCAGAATCTCATCGGGATCTAAAAATAGAACAATAATACCAAGGGCGCGTATCCTCCCTTGAAGGGCACCGTTCAAGTCCAAGTGCGTAGTATGTTTTTATGTTACACAACACATTTTTAACAACTCATAAAATTAATAAACCTTTTTTTAAAAATTGATCGTTAAAAAAACACACTGATTTTGTTTTCCGCTTTCTCAACGACAAGAAAACAAAAAAAAAAAACAATAGACAATATTTTTATCAAAGCGAGCTATCTACAAGTAAAAGAAGGTGGTAGTTACCGGAAATTCACATGGTTTTCCAGGCAGGGTCTGCAAGAATTCCAAGTTTGATGGGTACAATGACGTCAAAGGTGGCAAGGAGCTTACTGAGTGTTTTTGACAGGTGTCACCGATTGATATCGCCACCTTTGGGCATTGCGCAGGCCTGAGGATAGAGCATGCGCAGTGTGGGGAAAGGAAAATTGTATCGCTCGGGAAACCCGTGGGAGGAAGGCGTTCAATATCGGCGCGGAAGTGATGTGGGCCGGGGAAACGTGGATGACACGTGACTTACTGCAACAATAAGAAAATGGCTATGAGGAAAACCAACGATAGAAATACTGTTCATAGAAAAAATACGCTATTCTTAGAATGTTTTCTAACAAAAGGGACTCTCAGTTCACACTTGTAGCAATTTACTTATGGGTGTAGGCACGCGACAAGTAAATGGAACAGTCCTTGGAAATACGTTATCAGACACTGAAATATAAAGGATAACGTATTTTTAAAGACTTTCCCTTTATCTTGTATCTTGTACGGCCGACAGCGCATAATGCACTAAGGCATGTACCAACAGCACATCAGACTATAAATTTTTGTTGCAAAATAACACCTATTGCAACGAAATGAGATGTCACAGGGTTTAGCATACAGTGCTGTCTTCTGTACCTACTTAGTTATGATGGTGTTACTTTGAACCTCGATGAGTTTTAGTCTAGCCACAATCGAGTTTTAGTTGGCCGATAGTCAATATTGGACATGTATGGAAGTGCGTACATTAGGTACACCGATTTGATTTTCATACAAATTAAAATCGGGCCAAACTATCGGACGACTAATTCGGTAGTCTGCGCCTAGGCTTAGGTTCTGTTGTATTATTAAAAAAATTTGGTTTCAGCTTGATTTTTTGCCCCCGCTTTACATTTTTCATTATTGGCATTGAACATCTCATTAAAAAATTGCTACTGCTATCAGTTTTTGTGTTGTTTTTTCATTGATTTGAAACACAGATAAAAGAACTAGGTAACTAATCTACAACCAAGTCTGTCCAAAAATACTTACTTAACTAACTAAAGTACTTACCATAATTATTTACCGCCACCCTTACTTACTTACATAACATTAACAGGGAATACTTGTACAAGTCTAACACCAACTCGTGACGTCAAGAGATTTAATTAATAGAACTGTTTAGGACTGACTTAAAGTGAAAATGTTTACAATTTACTATATTTTACCTCTTGACGTTATTGTATGTTCATGTTGATCGGAGTTCCTAGGTGTCTGTATAAGGTAGGTGTACACAATAAATAAAACACATTTCTTGCAATAACATTATTCTGATATCAATTTAATATAACTTCCTCAAAAAGTTAAATTCCAAGGGCCCCTAATTGGTTAAAGAAGCTCTTGAAACTGAACTTAATTTCCAGGCTGATATAAGTTTTCTTTAATTACAGAAATGGTTCCCTTATTGTTGTTAGGTTATGGTCTCCCATTAAACGCTATACGTGGCCTACGACGTCAGCGTCAAACGTTCTTATCGACGTCCATAGTGTCCATACGCCGACGTCAACATTTTTTTTTATCCACAACGAGGAAGCTCTTGGCCTGTATATCACCTGATGGTAAGTGACGATAAGGCCGAAGGTGGAAGCGAGCTTCACCCGGAATCCACAACCACGAAGGAAGATCTGAAGAAGATCACGAACGTGCATTTCTATAGTAAGCCTTGTGACGCGGCCTACGGCGTAAATAGGAGACCACAGCCTTAACATTGTTCATTCATCATCGTCATATCCTCCTAGGGCGAACGTGGAAGCACTCGGCAGGAGTTGCAAGACCCGGTAGGAATAGCGGGCGCGAAGCAGTCGTCCGGACAAACGGCGCACGCGCCGGCGTACTGGCGAGCGTACGCGCAGTCACTTGATGAAGACCACTGGGATGGAGGCACGTTCTGCGGACCATACAGCTTGTTACTTTATCATCATTACTTTTTCAGGGCCAGCAGGTAGCTCAGCATTATGCTGAGACTGGTACCTTTTGCCTACCTATAAAAAGTGTAACATCATAAGATTCAAATTTTTGTTTATAACTTTTTCTTTTTCTTTATTTCTGTGTACCCATTCACATGTAAGTGATTTAATTTTTAGTGTAGCAATAAAAAAAAAACATTTTCATTTTCATAACCAATTTAAGTTTCATTATTTGTATTGGCTGCTGTTGGTTTTTCTAATAAAATAAATCATCAGCTCAGCATCACCCTGGAGCTCAAATGACCAGCCTCCTTAGAGCCAAAGCACACGATTGTCCATGCGTCGTCTTACATAGAAATATGTATAGATCGTTTCATCCACAAAGACGCGCCCCACCAATTTTTGGTCGAGGGAAGCACGGGGTGCGGGGAGTTTGATCCGAGCAATCCGAGCGTCATTGTTGTAGTGCGCGTGTGCACTCATGGATATTATCGTGTACCGATAACACTCAAACATTTGCGGAAGAATGGCGGGCTATAACGCGCTGCGGCGAAATCTTTGCGGTGCGGCACCGTATCACGTTCTCTTGTGCTTTGGCTCTAAGACAAGTAACAAAACGTGACTGTGGACTGTAATCGTTTCACTGAATGAAATGCCTAACATACAAAAAACGCAGAAGCGAGGCGATGTCAGAATTACAACTGCAACATTTTACAACTTGTCTGGGGGAGCTGGTCATTTGGGCTACAAAATAGGAGGACTACCTTTTAAATTACCAGAAGCATAAGGGAGAATTTGGGCAATACTATACAACACTCCCCCTAAAAACTTATTAGTTACCAAAGAACTGGATAACTCGAAATGTGAAGAACACCATGGCAATAACCTAGATTTTTTTTTAACTTTTTCTTTTTTTATTAAAGATTATTAGTAATTTGTAAAAACTTATTAGTTACCAAAGAACTGGATAATTCGAAATGTGAAGAACACCATGGCAAAAACTTTTTTTTTACTTTTTCTTTTTTGATTAAAGATTATTAGTACTTAAAAAATTACTAATACTCCCGTTAGCCCCTCGTACTAAGCTAAATATGCTAGTATCACGAGTGAGCTCACCACAATAGTCGAACGGCGGCGAGGACCGAACCCGCATTCCCCGGATCACGAGTCGGCCAATCCAACCTCTTCACCGTTCGGCTATCGTGGCTTATAGATGATACGCTTTTGTTTTTTTAGATAAAAACCGTCGTCTGCTTACCCTTATGTGATTGCTCAGCTTATGTGACTGCACCAGACAGTCTGCCAATAGAGAGAGATGGAGGGAGATCGTGCGGAGAGTTGTATCCGCCTCTACAACCGATGTGAACATCGCCTCAACGTGACCACGACCGCTCTGCCAAGAGCGTAACGAATAAGAAGAAGCTTACCCTTATGAAAGTGGCCAGCATGCAGAACGTGACGTCATACGCGGGGCAGTCGACGTAATACCCCTGGGCGGGTAAGTTCTGCACGAGACACGTGGCTTTAGCCTGCGCAATGGCGGCAGCCCAGTCGGGGTGTTCCTTCGCAAAGTCGTCCAAGTACTTGCCAAGCTTGGCGGTCTTTATGCTCGATCCGTCCAGCCAGCCCATTTCTTTGACGACGCACTTCATTACGTCACACTGCAACAATACGTTAGTTTATATTACACAGTGTTCTTAAGGGCAAGGAAGTGGCAGGACAAGTAGAGATTTTCTTGTGGTACTTTTCGTAATAGAATCCCTCGTTAACAAAGCAATAATAGCATAAAGAGGGTTTTCGCGAATGAAAGATCCGCTAGATGGCGGGACGTGGATGTGGGGTCTGACTGCTGCGTGATTGGTGGATTTTGACATATCTGTCAATGTCATGTCAAAAATAACCAATCATGCAACATTTGGACCTCGCGTCTACGTATTGCCATCTGGCGGATTTTTCATACGCGAAAACAATCATTTGCTGGGAATGGAACCCTGGAAATCTGAGTCTCATACATGTGTGTGATTTAGAATCAATTCGTTTGGTAGCACTGCGCTATTCGACAGATGACTACTTAGATGTGATGCTATACCTACTTCAAAGCCAAAAAGTTCTAGTACTCACTTTATTTGATCCTGGACACCTACTTTGTATCCCATGAGGAATAATTTGGGGAATGGAACCGCAAGTAATAATCTGGAAAAGATACCTTCATATTAACATAAATTCATATACTTATTATTAATACTATTTACTTAAATAATGTAGGCACTTTTCAGAGCGTGAGTGACGTCCAAAATACAGTTATCACAGCTTCGCCAAACAGTACGCTACGCTCTGTCGCGAGATCCTAGTGCCAGCGCTGTGTTTGACTTGAAAATATTCTAACAATACAATTCGGTGCTATATCACGTCGACGTCAGCCGTGATAAAATCTTATCGATGGTTTTATCAAATGTACGGGCTTACCGCGTAAAATCTATAAAATACCTCGATAAACGTTTATCATGGCGCTCGCTCATCCTAGACCTAAAGGCTAGCACTATAGGTATGCGTTCTATATGGCGAATTCTTTATACTCGACTAGACCCGGCCGGCGTACTTCGTACTGCCTATGTTCATCAGAAATAATGTACGATTCTAATGGTGAAAGAATTTTTCAAAACGGTCCAGGAGTTTCGGAGCCTATTCAATACAAACAAACAATAAAATCTTTCCTCTTTATATTAGTGTAGTTAAACAGTAAACATAGAAAAGACTTACGTTCGCAGGCATATCTCCACAATAAACTCGTGGAGGGGCGGGAGGAGCGACGGGAATATCAGCCCCACACATCTGGAAAATGTAACCATTATTTAAACAGAATGGTGGACGGATAGGTATTCTTAGTATTATTGTAGATTCGCATTTATGTACAGTCCAATAGGAAACAAAAGCAAATAACATGGAACTGTAGTTTGGGTAGTAGGATATTTATATTGCACCTGACAACAATACCATGATCTCGCACTAATTAACTTTAGACGAGTTCATTGACACGACCGGGAATTGACCCCGAGACCTCTTGCGTATCTACGAGACCGCGCCAATTCCAATAATGACGGGTGGAACTTTTTATTTTTATGAAGTTTAATGACGCTGAGATCACTTAGATTGTAGTATTAGTTGTATTTATAAAAAAAACTATTAAAATGAAAGTTACTTACCGCACATATTACCACGAACAAACCGAGAATTCTCAACATTTTGCCCGTTTTAATTTCACCAAACTGAAACTGGTCCATTCGTCAACACGCCGCGGGATGTCTGCGCAAACGACGCGGGTCAACTCATGCGCAGGTCAGGCTAATCTTGCTGTGATGTTGCGGTAAAGTGTGGGACGAGGGTAATTTGCACGTTGACTACTCATTTGTAGCATTTTTCAAAACAAATAGATTTACTAGGTAGGAATAGGGTTCCTTTTTTATGATGATGAATAATTTCCGAGTAAAGGCGCGCACGCACGGGCGACTTATGTCACCGAGACAGTGTCTCTTTTTCTTTATTTAAAGGTGCAAGAGAGACAAATATGTATACTGTCACGGTGACAAAATCCTAAGTAGAAGGAAGGAACGCTGCCACGATTAGAAGAGGCATTAGGTATTGGTGTAAAGATGATATGAAAGACAACAGTTTATTCAATTTCTGCCGAATAAAAAGGTGATAAATTATAAGTGTTGTAGTCATTCATTCTTAAAATACTGAAACCCGGACGCCAAACTAGTGCAACGTATCAAGAGACTTGAACGGAATATCTAATTGTGGATAACATGAGGTCATACTGGTTCACCTTCATAGTGAATTTGTCAATAAGACGATGTTTGTGTACATTTGATCGTTTTTGAATTTTTTTTATATTTATGTAGGTATGCTTTTGTTTCTGAGATAACTCATTTTTAGTCTACCTTCATTTTGTAATGTGATGAGTATATAATTTTAAGTTTTTATATCTACACTTTCATAGGCTACGAACTTTGATAGTAACACCGCGTCGAGTTTGTCATCGGCTCATACTCCCCTTTTAAATTCTATAAGTTCCATTGTAGAATCGCCTCATAAAACCTTTGCAGAACATAATTCACAATCTACTGTCAAACAAAAATCGTGAAACGTAAAAAAAATGTTGCCATTTTAAATTCTATTTAGCTTTCTGGGTACTGTGGAATCTTGGTGTCCAGATTTACCGCCTCATTAAAACTCATTTATTTCTGTAAATAGGCTTAAAAAAAGCACTTTTACACGTCCCAGTATTAACCCTACCACTGCTTCAGGACAATAAATGGGCCAGTGCTGAGAAGAAGCAGCGCAAGAAACTCAGTCACTATTGTCAGCCTCTTTTTCAAAGGTTTACATGCTTTAAAATGTACAAAGTTATGAATATTTATGCGAGCTAGGCAGTAACGTATCCCAAACATTTTTATCTTTTAAATAATCATCGACTTTATAGTAGCCCTTTTTCATTAACCCTTTCAGCACAGAATAATACGAAAGTGCGTTCGACTTTGAAAAAATCTAGTGAATTGGTAAATCAATTTTACCGCGCCAAGACGCTTCCGATCGATCGTACGGTTCGATATATTTGCTATTTTTCATACAAAAACTTTCAATGGCGTTCCTTCGGTGCTGTGTTGAGTGACAAAGATGGACGTGTACCTGACTACGGGAGGCGTGAAAAGTATTAATTTTTTTAAATTACTTTTTTTGTGGATTTCAATGAATTTTGTGCGTATTAATTTAAATTATATCCTTAAAAAAATATAATTCGCTTTAATTTTATAAAAAGTTAGATGTAGCCGAGTACCAGGTACTCCTAAAGTTCTACAGCACGAGCGTGCATGTCGGGACGATGTTTGAATTTTTGGTAATGTAAGTAATGGAAACCTTTCGAATCTTTTAAAGGCCTGAACATCAGATTTACTCTAGAATAAACTCAAGAATGTCTCCGAGACACATAACCACCAAATAGTACAAATCCGCTGTAGAAAATACAGCCACCAGTGAAAATATCGAGAGGATACCCGGATTCTTGTACCAATAGATGAACCAAAATGATCCCTTTTATGAAAATATCTAACCCCATGTGTTATTGAATAATAGCCACGACATCTGGGATTCAAAAAAAATAAGTTATTACTAAAAACGAAAGCTCATGTTCAATTTTAAGATGCTACTACCCCCAAAATTCAGGTTTTGATAGAGTTCTAGGTTAGGGCCATAAGCTATTTTTGAATTTTTTTGCAGAAATTAGTATCTAATTACGACATCATGTCTTTATGAAGAATAATAAAGCTCCTTATATCAAAAATGTCTTTTTTTAATTAGTTTAAATTGTAATTGTAATGAAATAGCTATTCATAGGTTCATGACGAATTGATACGATCGTGCGGGGGGGTTTAGGGGGGTTAAAGTCACCCCCTAAATTTTTTTGCTATTTTTCTCTATTTACTAAGATCCTAAAGACCCCAGAAACTCACGCGATTTTTTAGAAATCGACAAATTTTTCTCTCGTGCTGAAAGGGTTAAGGTACTTTTAATATGTGCTTTGAATTTATGAATGGGTAGTTCTACAACAGTTTGTGGTAATTTATTAAAGAATTTAATACATTTTCCCATAAATGAATTACCAATCTTATGCAATCTGAAATTTGGAACGGCAAGTTTATTTTTGTTTCTTGTATTAAAGTTATGCAAATCGCTCTTTTTCGTGAATTGCTCTATATTTTTGCGGACATATAAAAGGTTTTCATAAATGAACTCATTTTCAATCTCAGGTAATGAGGTAACGTGGGTACTCGCGGGATTGGTGGGACAGTTAACGTCAAATAGTTCGCGATACCCAAAGTGACCAAAAAATTTACAACACAACCTTATTCCTTGTATGTAACAAAGATGTGTTGCCAACTTTTTGGCTACTTTGGGTGTCACGAACTATTAGATATTTTGAGTGTCACAAACTTTTTGGCTACTTTGGGTTTCACGAACTTTTGGCTATTTTGAGTGTGACTGGACAAGGAAGAAGACTGACCGTTCCCAGACACGATCACAAATACCGTGCGTGAACGAGTTAAGTTTGTCAAACAAGCATACCATGTTAATTTTATTTCATAGTTTTCAAATAATTAATAATATAATTTTAATATAATAAAAGTAATTGGGTTATTATTATTAGACTGCTGGATTATGAAAGTTATTATTTTATTATTAGAGATACAAACTTCTATGACAATATTTTTTTAAGAAGCAGCTTAGTAATACTACTCAAATGTTACTGTACTCATAGTACTCCAGTAAATTACAGTCTACAACAAACTACTACTACTACTACTACTACTACTACTACTACTACAAACTATTTTACAAGTATCACCCACAACCATCTTTTATATTTTCTAAGAACTAATTAAAAAAATGCAAGTAAACAACAATCAAAAATATAATGATTTATCACATACACCTTCATACATCTACAAATCTATTTCACTCGTAGTGAAGAAGTCGTTTTTCAACACTGTCAGTGAATCGGTACTTTCGTCTGTAAACTTTGATGGCAATTGATTATCAAAATGAGGGTACCTAGGGTCCCACCAGTCTAACACGAAAACGGTCACAACTTTGTCCAGAATGACCGTGCATTCCGGCACAACGTCTCGGGACACGTGGTGGCCTGTATTGAAGCCCATGTGCATCTGATAGTGCCGGAGACCTCGGGCTAGAGCCACCTTGAGAGAAGTCAGGACCATTCCCATCAATGGTGGCCCTTGGTAAAAACTCCGGCAGACAACCTGGAAATATAAACATTAATGTTAAACAACATACAGTGAATAAATTATATATAACAATTTAATCACCTGAAAAGTTCACCATCACAAGATTACTAGCAACTTTTACAACCTAGCTATTACTTTTTCCAGTACAAAATTGTATTAAAGATAAAGATGAATTTATTTGTTGTATTCCAAACATTTTATTATTAATGTACAAAAAATTCACCTTCAAAACTTGTGAATCCTCTTCAGGGTTTGCATCCAATTTCCCTAATTCTTCAACAAAATCATTTGTACTGCTACTAAGTAGCTTTCGAATTGCAGATTGTTTCCTGAACTTAAAGAATATTGTCCATAGCGAGGGCCCTTTATCAAACCATATGTTAACACAGCGGCTCTTCACCAGCCGGTGCGGCCGGCATTCTGGGTCTTCTCTCTTAAAGAACACATCGTACGTGTGATGTAACGATCTTATAACTCTTTGTCGCAATCCATATACTCTAAAACTATTCTCTAATCTCAATCTGTATGGCAGCTTTGGATGGCCTTGGCAATAATCTTTGTACAAAGATGTCCAAAATGATTCTCGTTTCGTAATAGCATAAGTGGCTTTGTTGATCGCAGCAAACCGGCCAACGTCTTCAGGTCTTATAAACCTAGCTATCATGTACCAGACTATCTCCGGGTAAACTATTCCAGAGCGGGCATCCATGTCATCCTGTTTGGGATGCTTTTTCTTCTTGTAGACAAAGGTCTTGGTGCCATCCTCGTTAACTTCTTCAACAATATCCAGATCATCATCTATTTGGTCCCATGACAAGTCTTCAGGAGCTGGTACAGTGCAAACGGATTTTTTAATCTTATCTCCACATTTTGATGCATTTGCCGAGTCGTTTATTGTAAAGTCTGCAACTGTAAAACAACAAAATTTTGAGAAAAATAAATAAAAATATTAAATAATCGACTTGCGGCGTGAATTATCATACTGACAGTATGCAATCAAAATAACTTCGCAAAGTGTTACCAATTAGAACTTGCTTTCTTATTAGAAATTATGCATTTAATAGAAATATGGATTACGAAGAGATTTTAGATTGTTTACCTTGGTGAAATTTCTTTGAAGTCTTCTCTTTCTTTTTCGGCATTTGTTAACTAATAATAAATATTTGGAAGTGATTATTCACACTTCTATTGATCTAGTAAGTCAATAAATATTTTTCAGCAAACAAATATGACAGAAATTCGATGTTTTTTTTACCAATCTCTTGAGAAAAATTGGAAAAAAAACCAACAGATTTTTATTTTGACAAATTTGACATTGTTTGACAACAATGTTGACAACTAATTTGAACTTTTAAAAAGTCTACTTGTTTGTGGTTGTTTGTGGCCCTGATAAAACAGTTTTTAGTCAAGTTAGCTTTAGCTCTAGCTCTTAGGTCTCTGGAAGTAGCTCGTCATTGTAACTTAAGACGCTTTTACACTGCGCGGAATCCGAAATTAAGTTATATCTTCATATTTCGTTGCTGACGATCCTCTCTCTCTCATTCAAAAGGTTATTGTTCCATTGATATAAATTATAGCACTCTTTGTTTGTTCTAGTTTTAATTACCAGCCAAAATATGAAACTGATTTATGAAAATGTTCCACCTCAGTAGACAGGACAGTTGGACACAGGGAAACCATATCAATGATCCTAGCCCCCGGCCTACAGAAGCCCCCAGAGCCGACCCAAAACCTTTTTTTAGATGTCCTTCTTGATCCTATAAGACCATCATATAGGTTTTAATCTAAGACTATAGGCTACAATAGGTACTCCACTGAGTCAACTGATTGGACCCAGTAGACAGTGCAGTGCATAGGATAGGACTACATTTTTGTTACTTAATCATCTCATAAACAAAGACACAAAAAAAAACCTTTTAAACGCTTGTAAAACGATTGAGTGTTTGTTTTAAAGCCGGGTCTCCAGCGCAATTTTTTGTAGGCAATTGATTTGAACGTTGACACGTTCTTGTTGATTGTGTAAAGCAAAACACGCGCTTGAAACCCTTCAACAAGTCAACAACAAGCTTGGACAGTGTTGCCAGAAGGTTACTTTTGTAACCTTTTAGGTTACTTTTGAACTGCTGTGGTTACTTTTAGGTTACACTAATGAAAAGGTTACTTTTAGGTGATTTTTCAGAAATTGTAGAATTAACTTTACAGGTTATTCAGTAAAAAATATTAATAGTGACAATTTAAAAATTATGTCATAAAGTGCATTTAAACTTGAATTTGATTTATTATTTGTTAAGAAAAATGAGTTTTAGCGAATGTTTTTCGATAATAAAACGCAAATGTATTGTCGATGATACTGAATAAACATTTTTTCTTTCTTTCTTTCTTTCAAATCCATGAAACGTTTTTATACGACTGGTCACTTTTCGTATTTAGATGATCAATTGTATTAATTTTCCATCCATGAACAACCTTACACAATCATCGCTCCGCACCCCCCCCCCCCCGTATAAAGGTTACTTTTTATTCAAAAAGGTTACTTTTTTTTATATTTCTGGTAATTTCTGACTAGACCCGACTGGCAACACTGAGCTTGGAGCTTCAACAAGTCAACAAGTTCTATAAAAATATTATTTAAATAACAGCTAAAAACTTATTATTTATATCAATAATTTAAATCTAAAAGCTATGCCTGTCACCAAGAACATGTTGTACCTACAATAATACAACACAGTAAAAGTCCACATGGCAAGATTATTTTTAAATCTTACAGTTGGAATTTAAAAATGATCCAGCTCCAGATAAATTGTTTTAAATAACCAAATCGGAAAATTTAAAACTGGGCGAGCTCTAAAAATCAACTACAAATTAAAAAAATAAACATTATTGTCTCTGAAATAAAGTGACGTTCAAATTCAAGATGGCAGACATGCCGCTTGAGCCATGAGAGTATGGAACCGTAGGAGTACAAGTTTTAGGTGTGTCTTTTTAGATATCGAACTAGAATGTCGCCCGAATTCTTGACTAAAATCCTATTTGAATGTTTAGACAATGTGAATCTTCGTTTTTGTGTCTCGTGCGCTAGATTTAGGTAACATTTGTGCCGGAACATATGTAATAAACCGAGATCGAAATTGTGTTGTTCGGTGTATCGCGTACGATAATTATTCTTGTGTAAATGGTAAATTAAAATGTGGAATATGATGTGCGACGTGATGCCCACGATTTCTGAGGACAGTATCAGCCAGAGAAGTTCGCAGTTATCTGGTGAAGATGCTAACTTCGAGCAGCTCATGGTGTCTATGTTGGACGAGCGTGATAAGCTTGTGGAGAGTTTGCGGGAGACGCAGGAGCGTCTGGGCGATTCGGAGCTGCGCCTCAAGGAGGTGGAGAAGGAACGGGACTCCTTGCATAGGCAAATCGCCGCCAACTTACCTCAGGTCAGTGACAGATTATAAGAATTATCTGGTGATCTCACTCAAAATGTGATGCTTAGAAATAGTGAACTTAGTTCATGTTCGAATAAGTGTGTGAACTTAGTAGTAGTTTATGTGTACCCAGATGTCAGTGTATCAAAATCATGTCACATTTTGAATTAGAACATCCATTCCCAAGAATAATAAAGGTGTGTATGGGTAAGAGGCGTGTGTAAATCAGTGGTGTTGTGACTGAATTCCAATTGGAATGAAAGAGGAGTACCTACATACTTAATCTACAAAACAAATTCTACTTTAACAGCTCTAACACAGTTTTTCCTTTCCCTAGAAACCCTTTCCTGTCCTGATTCCTGTCCAAAATTCCTGACCTTCCTATGATGTGACCAATGATAGATAGCATCATGTGTGTACTTAGCACCACTAATAGAAGAAATTATAAATAAGATTTAGAAGTTAGGTAAAAATATTGTAATTTAGAGAACATGTGCACTTCTTTTCTTATTAGTCTATTTATTGCAAACAGAAATTATTCTGTATAACAACACAAGATTTGAGAATTTACTAGGACTGTACATAATTCAACTTTGAAAGTGTAAAAGTAAACTGATAAGATTGTGATTGTGACCTTGCGCTGCGTGGCTAAAACAAGTGTCATAGATGATTATATTGTTACAATGGTACATAGGTATTATGTGCTATGAATGACTTGATATAAGAAACTTCTTATTTATTATGGACAATATTAAATTTATTTACTTTTAAACATCATGATTTATGAAACAAAGTGTAATCAGTAGCATTCATTTACGATAATTATCCAATGAATAAATAAAATGAGAAGAACAAATATTATAATATTAATTTATTAACAAATTATTTGATTATCCTGTCATATGATTCATTTATTAGAAGTTAATTAATTGGTCTAGAGCTAAACCGATTTATGTAATGCTTAAAATATTAGCAGTAGTCAAAGACAAAGAATGAGACTAGGTCAAGGGAACAAGCTAGTCATTCATTGGAACGGCTGCACATTGCTATTGTGAAGAAATAAATTTGCAATTCAGTTTATTCCGTATAAAAACAAGCTTCAATTTTTTTATTGAAACTGTCAATCACTTATGTTTTTTAATTCAATAAACTGTTTAAAATAAAAGAGTTTTTACGAAGATCAATTCATTCTGTTTTATTTTGGTTTCTTGTAAACTGTATTAGGCTGATCCAGCTAAATAAACAACTAGAACCAGCACTATTCGCATCAGCTGCTGATTGATTACTTTTCAATTAGTGTGTGTATTTCATAATATTGCTATTTCATTGATGTTTATTTATGCAATCTTGATAGATTCAATTTCATTCAAGTTCAATAACTCAATAATAAAGTGTGAAATCGTGTCACATGAATTGATTACATCATGATAATGTTGTTTATGTGTTGTTGTTTACCAAATCACTCATGAATAGCATCAATTCTTGAGTCATTAATGTTGATCTATTTTCAGTGGCGCCATCAAGTATTGGTGGATAAATAATTTAATTTATGTTTGGTGTCATATAATTTTTGATTGCTATAAATATTAACCTGCTAATGTGGTTATCTGCCATTTCTAGAAATAACAGATATTTTATTTTTTTATTTATTTATTTTCACCAACTTAAACTATCTTTACAGGTCAATAACCTAATGCGATAGCATAAATTAATAATATGATTTAACATTCAGTAGATCTTACCACTATCAAAATGAATTCTAAAAATATTCATTGGATAGGTCATTTATTCATATCCTACATTTTTTCTACTGAAGAAGCCTTCGCGTACTTAAACGATCTTAGGGGGCGAGTACGAATTCTGCTAGGGCAAATATTATTGCGATGAGCACGAGAATTTGAACCAAAAGTTACCATATTCATTAATGCATTATCTATTTACGACGTTTCATTAGGTATCTAGTCGCCATCGTAGAAGCTTACGCCAAAAATATTCTATTAGTCATTTAGGGAATGGTTAACATATTTTTCGATCATAGTTCATGAATGAAAATGTGTTTATCCACGCCGATTATTTGGCTTTGAGTTCCGTTTTTATTTTGGTCGATACAAATGAGCCGGATTCAAAGTTTGAACCTTTTAATGTGCCTATATTTAGAACCCATACAACTTTTATACCTCAGATAATGCGCGCGTATGGCGGCTCTAATACACTAATTTCGACGATGACGATGAGCAGCTAGCCACGATAGTGAATTACAGTCAATAAAATAATTTGGTTTTTTACTTTACAATCTATTGATGCAATAATATTAAATTGCTCTTACCAATTACCTACCAAACTTGGGGAGACCTTTGTCTCAATCTTTAGCAGAACTTTTAATCTAGACTAATTAGATACATAATGCAGATACACACACATGACGTTAAACATCCACTATTCGTGATGTAAATACTCGTATTGCTCGTACTCATCACTCTTTCATTGCGACCCCCGTGATAAGAATCTGCAAACCTGATGTTGAGGGTCGGCACGCGACCAAGAGGCCAGATGACCGTCGAGGCTAAGAAAAACAAACAGGAGATAGTAAACGACATCGAAAGTTTACCTTACTAGAGAAATAATACGTTGAAGTTAGCATCAGTTAGCATCACTTGTTAGTACGACTGCCTGCCGTCATTAACGTAGGTGGACAACTCATCCCACCTAAAAGGTCCCAAAAGTCAGTAGGCTAAAGAATTTTCTAATTTCCGCATTGCTATGTAACATTGGAATTTACCCAAAATAGACTAAAACAATATTAGACCAAAGAAGCTATGTGAAAACGTTAATCAGCGATCAGTATGTCTTAATATTCAGGTCGGTATGTTGATTAAAAAGATACTAGTCGCCTCTTGGCCAATAAAGAGACTGTAAAAATTCCACAAGATTGAGTGGGGTTACACCAGAGCGATTAAGTTTAATCCCCGAAAATTGGCGAAGTTTCGTAGAAAATCAAAAAACAAATCAATGCGGTTGAAATATCGCCGAGTGAATTCCTGCACGACGAACATTATTGAAACCAGATCTTGCAACAATTAATCGAAGTAGAACAAATAACACACCTGGATAAAATGAAAATGAAAAAAGAAAGTTACGATTGTTTTTCTTGAAGACTCCTAATTAATTGGCGTCATTTGTTACTTTGTAATTTATTATTCAATGCATTTGATCGAAATCGTCAGCGACTTTGTTATTGTTATCAATTAAATAAAAACGTTTTGAAACAATACTTCTTGGAGTTGCAGAATAAGTTGATCTATTAATATTTATTGCTAGGAGAAGGATAATGGACTGGTATTTCCAGGCTCAAGTGATAATGGCCCATGAGCTTGAGCATGCGGTTAGATACGCGTCATCCTTGTCAGCAAGCTAACCGCACCATCTTGACGAGGTCCTCGCATAGTGACAGTCTGTCGATGTGACTTTGGTCACATGCGCTTCGCACATTTGATTAATGATCAATGCATATTTACTAAGATTCACGGTCTTCTTCAGCCAAATCGTTGATATTGTACCTATAGTCCAGTCAATAAAGGATTATAGATGGAAAACTGTAGAACACAATTTCTGACTTCAGGACTTTATTTAGACTAGTTAGGAGGTGAACATAGCAAAAGTCCCCGCCCTTAGCCCTTGAGCCGGCGGGGAGAGGGGGGTTTAAAGGTGCCACTTTTCGGTTTTTCGCTTAATCCTCGGAAACTATGCGTCCTAGTGACATGACTACTTTGAACCAAAAAAAGCATATTCAATTTGCTACAGATGAGATAGACAAGTTTTTCTATAAATTGTATAGTTTTCGCGGCATCTGCTCTAGAAGGTCTGTAATATTGGAAATTTTATTTTTGTCTTACATGTTCCCATCAGGAGAAAATCGACTAAATCAACATTGAGCAATCATTCTAGACATGCGGGAGCATGTTAAGCCTAGTTCCAGCGAGGGGACTACACCGTGCGTATATTTAGACGAATCACTTTGAGCCACTTTTGACTCCTCATCACTCAAAAACTACTGTGCATTAACACTTCAAATTTGGCTCATGTGTTGAGACTTGCAAGATATACATCAGTTTCAAATTTCATAAATATGCCTCAAACGGTTCTTTAGATATTGACGTCCAAAAATCTACATGTCTGACCTATAGACCAAATTCTAACCACTTCCAGATGACCTCGAAGGTTCAAATTTGGCATCCAGAAAGGTAGTTATGTAAATACAAAGGAACAAATAAAAAACCAGTAAATTTTAACATTTCACATGTGATAGATAGATTTTAGTGCTCTAAATATCGATTTTTGAACGTCAATACCTAAATAACCGTTTGAGGTATATTTATGAAATTTGAAGCTGATGTATATCTTGCAAGTCTCAATACATGAGCCAAATTTGAAGTGTTAATGCACAGTAGTTTTTGAATGATGAGGAGTCAAAAGTAGCTCTAATTGGTTCGTCTAAATATACGCACGGTGCAGTCCCCTCCATGGAACTAGGCTTAGCATGCTCCCGCATGTCTATAGTGTTTGCTCAATGTTGATTTAGTCGATTTTCTCCTGAAAGGAACATGTAAGACAACAATAAAATTTCCAATTTTACAGACCTTCTAGAGCAGATGCCGCAAAAACTATACAAGATATAGAAAAACTTGACGGTCTCACCTGTAGCAAATTGAATAAGCTTTTTTTGGTTCATAGTAGTCATGTCACTAGGACGCATAGTTTCCGAGGATTAAGCGAAAAACCGAAAAGTGGTACCTTTAAACCCCCCTCTTCCCGCCGGCTCAAGGGCTAAGGGCGGGGACTTTTGCTATGTTCACCACCTAACTAGGCTAAATAAAGTCTCGAGGTCAGAAATTGTGTTCCACGGATTTCTCTCTACACCGTCGTTAAGGCATTCATTGACTGGACTACTATTGTTTTCTTTCTTTCTTTGTATTTTGTTGATGAACTCTACCAAACCACCCCTTGATTCATCT